ATGTACCAGGTAAAGAGAGTTTACAATGTTTTATGATTAGTCCAACTACAGAAAGTCAAACAGTTAATCTTGATTGAAGTTGGCCCAAAGATCTATACAAATACAGTAGACTAATCTACAATGCAACAGATAATATAATTATAGAACCAGCTCTAAAAAGCTAATTGCCAAAAATGTAATGTTGACAGTGCAAAATAAATTGTCCGTGATATCTTCCCATAAGATGACTATCAAATAAAATAAGATAATCCTTAATTAGTCCCGCAGCGGGTGCATTTTCCAAATCCATTAAATAACTATTGAAAGCCAAAATATATTACAAATTACGTCTACATTATAACATTATTTTTAGCTTTTGATTGGTTCTTACTCACAATGTGGGAGAGTAAGACAAAGAATAGTGAATATTTTTCAGTTTATTGCATAGATGGATGCACCTCAGATGTGCACAGCTGAGGGAGACGAACGGCACAGCTGGTTGAGCTCTCTGTTTTCCCAAAACATCAGACTTCTCCTTTCAAGGGATAGGAAGTATCTGGCTTGTTATGGCATCTGTTCAGATTTCTGTATACCCTAACACACTCACAGACTCTCTTTTCCACTGTTTTCTATTTTTGTGATTTCATGACCTGCTACATAACACGCAAAATCTCTTTGTTTTTCTCCCAGAGCATATGGCAGAGGCAGAATGTAGGTCTCTGTTGGTCTCTGTGAAGGTGATGTTGTCTGGATCATTTCACCTGGATTAGACAACAGAAAATGCTCTTTTCACAAAACCGGTGTATATGCACTGGGAAAATACTAGCAGTAATGTCAAACTGTGCTACAACTACTCCGCTTTGAATATTTTAACGTTTTGTAATGTTTTCGGAGCACTATACATGACTTGATTTAGAAGTCTTAGATTTCAGATTCATCCATCCAATGCTGAAAACAATGTCTGATGTTAAGGTATACAGATAGAAATTACATATCTTATCATGCCCTTTTAGTTATTTTTATTCACATGTTTATCTTTAAATAAACCTTCAAGTGTGTTGCAGTTAATGAAAATGTGCATTTATAGCTATAGAACTTTCCCATGAAGGGTGTTATAATAATCAAATAAAAACACAATTATTAAACCAAGTCGTCTACAAAGAGTTTTCCTTTGAGAAAACACTCCACTGCTGCCAATCTCCGCCAGATGAGATATGATAATTAAGTGAAGTAAAGCTATGAAGTTGTTTTTGTCAGGAACTACAATAAAGGGAAGTATTCCTTTGAGACCACATATGGGTTTGGATATAAGACAGATGCAGCATAAAATATACAGTGTTCTGAAACATTGAAAGTGAAAGCACTTTCAGATGATTACAAGCTCACTTATACAGTATATAACAACACTTCCTGGTATGTCTTGGCATATGAGATCCACTAATGTCACAAGACGAGACAATTTGCGGTAAGATTTTGATACAATATAAGTGAAAATGTGGTCTTATGGGGATCAGGCCTATCACAGGCTCCAGACTGGTGCAACACACACGATGACCTTGTTGACAACAACAACAGTGCTATTTATATCATCATCAGGTGTTTATGAATTAATAAAAACCAATATTTATTTATCACTATTGATTGCAGACCTCATATTTCTATTAAACAACATTTATATGCAGGCATAACTGGTACCTACTTATTGCTGCTGGCTGAAAGAACAAAAAAGACTTCAACTCTCCAGCAAACCTCTCATTTCCAACAGGCTGAACAATGTGATTGCTAACTGCCTCTACACACTTGGCAATATTGTTAGCTTTTACAAAGTCCTAATACACATTTTATGTCACAGTAAAAACTATAGAATTAAAACCACATGCTTGCTGGGCTACATTGACCATTTATTGTATGACTTCCATTAGCAAGTATGTGAATTGCTAATGATAATTGGTCAGCCCAAGTAGTATATATACTGTAGAGGAAACTTCTGTGTAGCTATGCAGTGGGAGTCACCGACTCAGGAAGGAGACACGGGAAGAGCAGTAGCTTTGATGTCAAACACATGATGGTTTATTTGGAGTTAAACGGCCGGAGGATTCACATCACAAGTCCAAGAGTCAGAGGTTCTGACTTCACGGTAGAGTTGCCACGTCAATTCTGGAGAGCCTCTCTCTTGCCAGCCCATCTAACTGGTTTCGCAGAGAGTAAACAACATATTTTGAGGAGATAGCCTAAACAGTGTGGGAACACAGAGCTACTTGCCTCGGACACTTATGACCTCGAAGATTTTACCTTGGAGTCCACAAATACAGAGAAGGAAGTGTCCCAGTGTACCCACAACACAGACCATCTGTATCCCAGTATTGACCGGTCACAGAATGGGAACAATAACATTATTGGCTAAGCCGCCTGTGTCCTTAAAGAAGGTAAACAGACATCGAGGTTTGTCCTGTATGTTACTAATTGGCGTCTTATGATAATTATTTCCACAACATATACTTAATACATAGTCTCCTGAGCTGTCACCACCATAATAAAATACAGTAAAACTGCATTGTCATGTCATCTCAATTTTATAGAAAACATCATTGAAGTTTGGCAATTAGTTTGAAAGACACAGTGTCAGACTAACTAACTTCAAAAAGCACTACAACTGTTAAATCAAAGATGATTCAAATTACTTTTTTTATCTCAAGCTCTGTAGTGATCGTTAACTTCTTCACACTAACACTTAAATGGATAGAATCATATGTGTTCAACCGTTCTCAGTATGTCAGAGTACAGAATAATCAATCATCTAACCTCCAGCTGTCCACAGGTGTCCCACAAGGGTCAATTCTGGGTCCATTGTTATTTTCATTGTATATAAACGACTTACCATCGATATGTCCTGACACAAACATCCAAATGTATGCTGATGATACTGTAATTTATGTTCACGGAGGCAACCTGACACAAGTGGCTAATGAACTGACGAACAAGATGGTTCATGTAACAGCTTGGTTGGAGCCATGCTGTCTGCAACTAAATGTCAGTAAAACTGTATGTATGTTCTTCACCAAAACCAAGTCCTCCTGCGTTGAGCCAGATGTGTTTGTGTCTGGGGAGAGGCTACAGGTGGTATCACAGTACAAATATCTGGGGGTCTTAATTGATTCAAGACTCAATTTTAAGGCTCAGGTGAAAAAGGTTTGCAACAGGGTCAAATTCAGTCTGTTCAATTTGAGATTTACCAGGAACTGCATGTCAACAGAGGCGGCTCTGATGTACATGCACTCTATGGTTCTATCTCATATCACCTACTGCTTAACAACCTGGTCACATGCCTGTACAACCACTCTTAAACCCCTGGAATCATTATACAAACAAACACTTAAAATAGTAGATAAGAAATCAGTTTATTCTCATCATTGCCCAATACTCACAAAATATAACTTGTTGAGCTGGGAAAATGTAATGAGATATGCAAATGCTTGCCTCATGTACAAAATAATACACGGCCTTACCTCACCTCCGCTCAGACATTTTATCACCATACGCACACCTGTAACTAGGTCAACAAGAGCTGCAACAAGAGGAGACTGCGTTGTTCCATTAAGGAAGAGTTCATTCAGCCAATTTTATTTTTCTTTTAAAGCTGCACAACAGTGGAACTCAATCCCAGTAAAGATTAGAGAACAAAACACCTGCAGTTTATTTAAATGTAACTTAAAAACATGGTTAGTGGAAAATCAGCTCTGTCAGCACTGACACAATCTGCACTTTACAACGCTCTGTTTGTACATGTGCCTTGACCTGTTGCTATCTGTCTGCTTTGTGAATATGTATTTTAGTTTTGTTTTTATGTTTTTATATATGCTTTTATCATAATATAAGCATCTCTGTTGAATGTTGTTTTACTGATTGTATTTACCTGTTATTTGCAGTGAATTTTTGTTTTTAGGATGACTTTCAACATCTGTCCAGGGACTACAGACGAAAAATAGCGTGTTGGCTAACTCTGGCGCATTTACAGAAATGTCAATCACTGTCCCTGTCAAATAAATATATACAAAAAAAATAAAAATAAAAAAGTTCAGCCTTACGCCATTACACATATTGACCTTAATATTGATGCTGGAGGAAAAAGGAAGAAATTACAAATGGTGCCTCTACTTCCTTGTTCTGTCCATTCATTCCCTAACAACAGATCCCACAAAAAACCATTGACGGTTTTTTTAAATTTTATTTTTAGAATGAATTTCTGAGTTATCAACAGACCTAAATTCATTGCCACAGCTTTTATAAAGTAAATACAGCACTCATGAAACCCTTTGCGCTGCCTGCCTCCTTTTATGTGCCTACTCCATAAACTGATACAGTGTCTGAAAATCACTCCAGAACATCCGTTTAATTTCCCTTTATGGGTTCTATTTAACAATTCATTCATCTTCCCGTTCCCTCTCTCAAGAGAGAAATACATGTATTGCAACAAGCATTTATAATGTCATTACAGACATAATGTCATTCAATCCTAATCCATGACATTTTTTTTATTTCATCCATATGTAGTAAGTAATACATTTATGACTTTAGACATTTGTGTGCTCATTAGTTTTTAGGTTAAGGTAAATATTTTTCCATTTCCATGTTTGCTCCTTTTTATGTGTTAGGGTCTTTTTGCTTTAATGCGGTTATGCTCATTTGTCTAAATCAACTCACCTGTATATGAACTGAAACCATCAGGGAGCTTGAAATTGAACTGCAACCTGATGATGCAGAACACCATCCACACAAACTCCCTGTAGATTTGATTTGATATAGAGTATTCTGTTGTACTATATATACAAATCAATTCCTGAGGACTAACGCAATTAATGTGCAACCCTTAAATCACCTGATTACCCTTTAAACTAACTGAAACCCTTGCAAAGTCAAACAGACATTATTTATAAGTGCACACTTGTGACAGCTACAGCAAACAGAGACAGACCTGTGACACACATATAAATCTTGTTAAGTTGGCAGTAAACTCAGACATGTTTTTGACAACAGTCAGGTCTTTATTGATCCTGCAGTGGTTCCATTGGAGACAACATACACAAGCAAAAAAAAAGAATAAGCGGCATAGAAACACTTAATGTACCTAGAAAACATCCAGAATCAATCAAATTAAAATAAAAGCAGCTTAAAACGATTCAAAGTGAAGTATTATATAGCAGGGATGGGAGCTGAAGCCCTTTTTACAGCAGTGAATTGAGCATGTCATCGCAATTTCTGGCATGAGTGATTGGGAGAACGCTATCACACACATCATAAAGTCTTTACAGTGAAACCTATTATGTAGGAACAGCCGGCTAGAAATTCATTTTGCAGTGCAAAGCTGGTTTCAACTGCTGTCACACTTCACAAGACAGTATTGACACATTTGCATATAGTATTTGATGGTGAAGAGGAAGTTGCATTGCTTTCATCAAAGTTAACAGTAATGTTGACATTTATGAACCTAGTAACAGCTGGCTCTATCCACAGTGGGTGTCATTACGTATTCAAAGCATACATTTACCATTATAAGAATATGCCTGTGCTCTCTTGATTACATTGTTAGTGTTCCTCCATTGCAACAATAAACCACAAGTAGTGCAACATCTACAGTAAGGACGTGTTCATGCAATCGGTATAATAGATCCTCTTGAGACACACTAAAACAAGTACTGCCAAGATGTTGAAAAACAGGTGCAGGAGTGCAGGAGATGCTGTTATTTCTGAAGCTGTCCACCAGATGGGTGGAAGGGAGCACCATGTGTGAGCAGACCCACACAGTTAGATGTAGGATGTGAGGAAGAATGAGGAGGAAGTCATGCTCACAGGGAGAAAGAGTTAACAACAGTTTGACATTACACTGGGTTCAAATTTGGGTGCTTGGATGGGGTCCGACACCTGATGTGTGTGTGTGTGTGTGTGTGTGTGTGTGTGTGTGTGTGTGTGTGTGTGTGTGTGTGTGTGTGTGTGTGTGTGTGTGTGTGCGTGTGTGCGTGCGTGCGTGCGTGCGTGCGTGCGTGCGTGCGTGCGTGAGTGCGTGCGTGCGAGTGAGTGCCAGATTGTGAGCCCATGAGTTTTTGAATGACTTGGTTGATTGTAAATCACATTCTAAGGTTAATTGAAGTATCATGTGCTTCTTCTCTGCGACCATTGACTCAAGGCAAACTGTTACAAATCATAATGGTCTAATACGAGTGTGTCACCATTGTACCAACAAGTACAACGGTATTCATTCATGTCAGTGTGCTCACACTCTCAGTCATACACACACACACACACACACACACACACACACACACACACACACACACACACACACACACACACACATACACACACACACACACACACACACACACACTCAAGAGGTGAGACCTGAGAACAACCACTTTAACCAAGGCTGGTGATATTGGAGCGACCACCAGGGGGTGCTACAATGCGTTGGCCAGACCTACGAGGGACGATGTCATCAATCTGAGACCCTGGAAAACAAAGACAAAATGATGTTAGATTTGTTTACTTCAGTAAATAAATCTATTCATTTTGGAACTTAAAAATGAAGGCTCACATATTGCTCCATTTAAAACATTAAAAACATCATAGGTAGGCCTACAGGTACTGGATTGGATTAAAATAAATAGTATAAAATATAAAATGTTTGTTACCTGATAGGCTGAAGTTGGACTGGTGGAGATTGCGTATTGGTGGTGGTTGGTGAGAAGTGGGTGAAGTTCTGGCTGAAGGAGAAGGAGTAATATATGTTTGGGTAGGAACCACATCATATACGGGGCCATCGTACAACCCACGAATAACGCCCTGCTGATTCTTGGCCTTGAAAAACACACAGACAAACACGTGTTAGCTGACATGTTAGTCACTCTAAACATTTTTTTAAAAGCCTGTACAATCACATTGCCAATTAGTATTTTATTTGTATTTATTTGATATGTATTGTTTAAAGTCATATTGAAGAAAAAAACGATGGTGCAACTATAATGACTGGATGTTGACCACCCATTTAATCTTTTACTGGAAAACCTTTTAACCATTTGAAGAATTGCTTTAATATGATGTACAGTATGTACCGCACCTGGTTCCTGACTTTAATGCGCTGGTAAACGTAGTCTGGGAAGTGCTTGCGGGGAATAAATCGACCGGTGCCTTGCTGGGCCTGCACCTTGCCTTCCTCATAAACAACTCGTCCGTGACTCAACACCAGCGCTGGACCCCCACGGCACTCCATACCCTCAAAGATGTTGTATTCTGAAGCCTGTGTGGAGAGGAATAAACATACTGTAAGCATCACGATAAAATTGGAAAAGAACAGATGAACAAGGGAGAGCTTTTCATTTCCTCCTCAGTACATTGATACTCTGTGCTGTCTCGGCCCCACAGGCTATTTTTGCAATCATTATTACAGGAGGCTTACTATATGCCATGAAATGCAGCAGTGGAGAAGATTGAGGATGAATAAGTGAAAGGCTTGGGAATATACAGTACAGTAGGAGGAGCGACTACAGGGGGATGGGTGGAGAGATGCTAGCTCAAAATGGGTGAGGGGGGAAGGGGGATTATAACCTAAAGCCGGCACGAGTCTGGATTAGGGCTTTTGACAGTGGCAGAGCAGACTGAATATATCAAACACTGTCTGACATCGTCACTGTATGTTGTCCCATTGCTCAAGGCAAATGTCCATCTCAAAGACCATGTTTCGAAGTTAAGTTGCATCGTTTTGTCGTAAATAAAAAAAGCAAAGGCTCGGTTCACATAAATTGCAAATACACAACAACAATGTATTTATTTAGCTTTCCAGCCATCTGTGCATGCAGATACCTTACACCTTCACTCAGCCTCACTGGTAAGAGCTTTCCCTGGTTCTACTGCCTATTGAAGACATTTCAAACCATTGTTAAAATGATCAAATGTTTTTTGTGTTTTTTAGGGAAACCGACACTTTTTAACCCAATTAGAATTTAAGCTTTCCTTAAACATGCTATATATGCTTTTTGATAAGGGGTTTTGTATCCAATGCATGTATTGTATTATTCTGATATGACATCATACTGCACAGTAATGTCAGACTTGACTGCATTTTATATTCCAACTTCACCTCCTGTGATCCGTGCCTTGGTTTTCATCCTATTTCACACTCTGCCATCTCTCATACAGTGTGAACCCCTCTCTCCTGCAGCCTTTCTCCTGCCTTTGTCCTTCAAGTCCTTCTGCTCCCTCAACTGATGCAGTATTTAGAGTGGGATTTTGTATTAAGATCACAAAGCATCCGTTGCAATATTCTGTTATCCCTTGCATTCAATTCAACAATGTATCCTTTCTCTTTTAACTAATGTCCTTATCCTGTTATTGTTATTGCTCTCACCGACTGCTGGAGTTTTGCAGTGATTGTTTTGGTGCTGTTTGGGTCCCAGATGACAATATCTGCGTCAGAGCCCACCGCTATCCGCCCTTTGCGAGGGTACAGGTTGAAGATTTTTGCAGCGTTGGTAGATGTGACTGCCACAAACTGGTTTTCATCCATTTTTCCCATGGCCTTATAGAGAGAGAGAAGTAAATGTTTAGAGTTGCACGCACGCACGCATGCACACACACACACACACACACACACACACACACACACACACACACACACACACACACACACTTCCTCATCGCTCACCACAGCCTTGTCCCAGACGAAACCCATTCTCTCCTCCACTCCGTTTGTCCCCTCTGGGATCAGAGTGAAGTCATCTTTACCAATTGCCTTCTGGGAAGTGCTGTACGCACAGTGAGCACTGCCCACCACCTGCAGGTCCCCACTGAATTAAAGCAGAGAAATAATATGAAATGATCACATGTCAACTCAATACACAGTCAGCTCAACAGAACCTTGACCACTTAAAAAAAAATGTAACCTGTCAAATTGTATAGTTTTTACTGCAGAACTTTGTCTTGAACTTTTAAAGGCAGCTCAATCATCGGGATAAGGTGGTCAGTTAACATGGATTTGGCTGTAACAATCTGTTAAAAGCAATATTTACATTCAAGTAATCATAATGAACATGAATGCTATTTTTATGCTCATTGAGTTGGTGAGTTAAAGTGAAAGTCATGCAGTGAAAGAATAACCAGCAAGCTGAACCAGTCCATAGAGCCTTAACTAGATCACATCATGAATATACACTGTTATAATTAAAAAAAGACATGTATTACCTTTCCTCCTTCATATACAAGACGCTGAATTTGACTGTTTATAAGGTATGATTTGGGTAATTTCTCATCCAGGGCCTTCTAGTCATTTGTTAATTACAGTGATTACTTCATCATCCTGATCTGAGGGATCATTATGACCATGAGAGTGCTTGTTATGGAAATAATGAGCCATACTGAAATATGGAAAAGAGTTGTTCTTATGAAAACTCAAAGTACAGTATAGCAGCACTGGTGTGACAGCACAGACCCGCCTAGAGAAGCTGGGGTTGCAGAGGAAGGGTGGAGAAACAGAGGAAAGGAAGGAGGAAAAGTTAAGAGGATAAGGAGGAAGGCAGTTGGTAGCCAAGGCAACAGATGATGAAGGATTCTAGTTGCTCTGCTATTTATGGAATCAAGGACAGTCAAAAGTGTACAGCAGGATGTTCTGTGCATATGTGAGAGAACCGGGGTGGGTTTGGTCTGGGGCAATTTATCACTCTATTACAAGTCATGTCACTTGTTAGACGCTTTTATCCAAAGCGACTTACATACTCAATACTGTGGGCAATCCCCACAGGAGCATTTTGGGGTGAAGTGTCTTGCCCAGGGACACAACGACATGCTGACCGCAGTGGGGTTTGAACCTGTGACCCCCTGATCTAATCACCAACGCTCAATCCACTGCACCACACGCCTCCCACTCTATAATACACATCAATTACAATGGGAAAATGGCTTTATGTAGTGATAGAAGTATACATATATTATTATACTCAATACATTAATGTATACATGTAATAATAAAAACTGCACTACAGTTAAAGTGGCTTGCAAACAATTATTAAGTCAATTATCCCTTATAAGTCTCTTCTACCGTTATCATACTGCTCCTCCTCTCCTCACACATACACCTTGACCTTCTCCCTCCTCTCCATCTGTTTTTGTTTCTCACTGAAGCTGGCTTGACATTAAGCATTACACTAGCATTTGTCCTTGGCAGGAACATTACACTAATATCTGAGGCAAACAGCAAGACGTGGACCCTTTGGCAACTTATTTAATAATTGTTATTTCACTTTTAGAGGTTGACATGAATTTAAACTATTGCCCTTGCTCTGCATTGAAATAAAAGTGTTTATTAGTCATGGTTTTGAAACATGAAATATACGCAGGGGACATACAGTATTTCAACAGGCTTAACAGAGCATTACCATTACACAGAGTCAACCCCTGGGTTATTGCATTTAAAGTTGTCTGAAAAGGTTTAAGACATACCAAGCCAGCAGTGTGTTGAGGTGGTCTGGGGTTGTGGGGTCAGGACTTAAAGGTGGAGATGTCACATAAGCAGCCGCTTTGGCCCAGTTCTTGCTCCAATAGTGAGAGCCATCAGTGACCAGGCTGGCTGTAATTGGCTCCCCAAAAACGACATAACCTGGATGGGAAGAAAGAGACAGTGTGTCGGTCAGGATGTGAAAAGCAGATGTTCAATCAGGATGTATAAACACTGGAAAGAGTCCTTAAAATCAATTCAGACACATTGACTGAAATGGAAAGAAAGAGAGGCTGACCTTTCCTACGGGCCTGGGCAATAGTGTCAGCTGCACTCTTGCTCATCACCTTGGTGATGTAGATAGGACAGTTCACACGGTTACCAAGAGTGATGGCACGGAACACCGCCTCAGCCTCCAGCTGCATGTAAAGAAGTAAAGAAACATTCAAACCTATAAATGGATGGATGGATGGACGGATGAAGGGAATAGGAGAGGGATATCACCTCTTCAGGACGACTCAGCGGATGGCCTTCGGGTCCGGTGATTCCCATTCCGAGGATTTTCTTCTGTTCCTAAAACACAATTGAATAAGATTTAATTATGAGTATCTTCCTCCTCACTGCAATAACTCTCAGCATGACATATAGTACTTGTCAAATCATGTTTTACCCACAACAACGCCTTTGCTGGTCTCCAATGGCTTTTAAAATGAAAATATCATGGTCTGTCATGCTATCAAAGGGTGCATTGTAATCCAAGGATGCCAATGTCACTATTGGGAGCTTGCACCTGTTATGTGTCTGACAGCGCTGTCTGGAAAACAGCAAAATTGGAAAGAAAACCAAACCTCTACCGAGTCCACCCCCTTACTGCTTGTCTTTTTCAATATGTGTTGGCTTCATTGCTTGCTCACAAGAAGGTTGGTGCTTCTTAAAGGTTTTTCATCACCCATCTCCCTGTTTTCATTACAATTAGGTTAATGAGTATGTTATCATTTATCATCGGAACTCCTATCATCAGTCATTACCCTCTTTAATCTTTAAATACATTATAGTTTCAACTTTAGGAGTCCCTTTAATTCAGACCATCATCTACATGATCCTGACCACCACTTTAATCACTGCTGTCAGTATTATCAGCACCTTAGCTTTCAATTATCTTCAATCTTAATAACCATTACATCATCATCATTAGTATAATGACGGTCAAAAGCGGTGGTGCCCTTTAAAAAACACTCAGCTGCTGCACCAGCAATAATCCTCTCTCTCTCTTTCTCTATGTGTGTGTCTGTGTATAGAGTTATGTAAGAAGAATACCTCTCAACTGCAGTGTAGGTGGAAGAGAATATTAAGTCAGAAGATTGGTCATGATTAAGTTCAGTCACTTTATATTGTTACTAGTAATGGGAGCTAAAGACTCACAGGTTATAACGGTGTTACCAGAGATATGGGTTGCCAGATAAGAGACAAAACTAGAGGAGGTAATGAGGCACTTACTTGAGCAATAAGGTCTCCATTTTCAGCATGAACTAAAACCACGGCACCCAGCTGCTTCAGGAAGGAGAACACCTCATACAGCTGTGGGAGAGTCCAAAGAACAAGCAAGCCATTAATACTCAATGGAGAAAAACAAGCCACAGATATTTCTCATTAATGCAATATTAGTGATAATTGTAATCTGTGATTATGAACATACCTCAGAGTCTGTCATCTGATATGTATCCTTATAGGCCATGTACACTTGGAAGGAGTTGATACCTGACAGTGGAAACAATGAATGTATTCATGACAAGAAGGTAATAAAGTACAAATTAGCAAGAAGGATAAAAAAGAAAAATGTGAGCGTAGAAACATTTAGTATCATGATATGCACTAAATAGAATAGAGATAAATGTTAAATGTTAAATGTCAAGTTGCAAAAGTAGAGAAACTGATCCACAACCTAGTCTGAAGTACAAATAATCGAAGCTGTAAATTACAACCTTCAACTTTATTGCAGAAGGGGATCCCCCACACAGGCAGCTGCCTTGGCCAAGTTACTGCCTTATTCTGTGGCGGCCCCATAAGAAAAGTGATTTGTTACTTAAAACAGATTACAAGAAGAATTTACACACTACCACCATGACAGCACCGCAGAGAACAATGGATTACTACTGCGCCTCCGCTATAAGAGGATTCAGCACTAGGCCAAATTGTTTCTAAATCTCTCCCTGTTGTTCAAGTGAAATGGGTCCAAAATAGGGATGAACATGAAACAAGAATTACAGCATTGACCACAGCTATAAAACAGCATGCGGTCATTAAAAACATATGTACCTTTCTCTTGCACCAGCAGCTCCAACTCATCTTTAACATTCTCATCCCACTGGGGGATGTCTACGTGCAGGGAGTAATCGCAACATGCCTTTTTATCCGCAGCCTCCTGCCAGCACTCAAACGCCTGCAGTAGACTCTCCCCGGGCTCCGGGGTTACATGGTCAACTGAAAGAAAAAAAGTGTCATAGGTTAAGATGTGAAGAGCGTACCTAATGTATTTCATCACTTGAAAGATAATGTTGTGACAGTATTCACTGTGACTGTAAATGTCTATGCATCCACACTCACTGATCATGGTGGTGCCCCCAGCGAGTGCAGCCTTGGTGCCTTGGAGGAAATCATCAGCAGGCGGTGTTCCCAGGTATGGCTTCATCAGACAGGTGTTGGCATCTATCCCCCCCGGTATCACCATTCGGCCATTAGCCTCTATCACCTTGACACCCCCAGGTACAACCAGATTCTCCCCCACCTGCCTGCCAAGGACCAGACACATGAGACACAGGGGTGATTGTGGGTGAAATGGGTAGGTTGTGGAGGTGAAAAGGGAAATAAGAAAGTGAAATCATTATCAAGATATTTATATATTCTGTAAAAATCACTATTTGTATGCCTCCTTATTTAAATAGCTCTTTATACTCACTTGATGAGTCCATTCTCAATGTAGACATCTGCATAGAGAGACTGGTCATCATTGACCACCCGCCCTCCTTTGATCAACAGCCTTTCACTCTACCGGGGGAGAAGTACAGAGGGAGGGAAGGAGGGAGGGATGGGAAGGTATGGTTTAAATCAATCCTGACATTTTGATATATTGCACAATCAGTTGTGTAATCATGGACTTTACAGCAATATAATGGATGGGGTGTAAATAAATACATAGCCACATAAGTGGGCGGTTTCTCATTATAGCTATCAGGGCTATCTGCCTTCGTCTTTTGCTTTTATTCTGTGCAGAATGAGGTTTGACTGCTTATTTATAGGCACAGTGTAAAACTAGCACATTTTTACCCAGACTTCCATGCGTCCACACACTCTACCACCATGAAGGCTGCCTGTCTGGCAACCACTTTAGGAGGATGTTACAACATCTCCATGGTAACCAATGATCCTATGGCTTAGTTGACAGCTGCTGACAGCTCGCTGAAGTTTTCCAAAAATGATTATGCTTACAAAAGGACTAATTTTAATGCTGTGTTGTTTACTGTATTCCCCGTGAAACTGAATGCTTAGTCAGTTGCATGCCTTTGGATTTATTTGGTGTTTTATAATAGGCCTACTTTGGAGAGGTTTAGAGGAGACTTTCTGCAGAATGCATGCTTTATTGTAGCTCAAAAGAATGCATCTTTGCACAAATCCAGTCTCAAACCTTTATGTTGTTTAACGCTAGTCATTGTTTCCTGCAAGGTGATCTGGATAGACCGTCACGTCAACCGAGTTAATCCCTCTGACAGGCGTCGAGATTACACAACAATGTCCAACCGTAAAATAATACGTGCTCGATTAGACACACAGACATCCAGTAGAGAACTGTCACCTCGCTGTCTAGAGTTGGCTGTCTCACACTGGAGAGAGAGTAGAGAAAGTCCTTCGGTTTTTCTCGCCTCACTAAGAATGTAATCCCTTCTCTGCCGGCATTGGGAGCAGGGATTTAGTGGAGAGCTTCTCCGGCCAACACACCGACCAGGCCGGGTCTCTTACCTTCAGATGGTGGATGCCGTTATTCTCATGGTAACTGGACCCAGACATGCCTTCCCCGTCGCTCTGCCCTCTGGCAGTCTATTTAGTAGCGGGTTGCAATGACTCAGGCGCCCTGTACGATCTCCGCCCCTTTATCTAACCGAATGTGTGTTGATTTTAGTTTCCGTGTGTGTAAAGGGACAGTGGTGAATCCGCCGGCGTACGGCTGCGTCAGGACGCGTGGAGCACGCACAGTGACAGGACAGGTGACCTTTCGGTGCATGCGCGAGTGAGGAAAGTCAGCTAATCCCGAACGGCACTGAGAAAGAAAGAGTTGACTACTCCTGTCACCCCTGCACGCACTAACATAAACAGCTCACGTGAGAGCAGAACAGGATTGCGAGGGACGCTGTCTGCGCTGTCCAGTTCAGCACCACACACTGAGGGGAGTTTCATTCTATCGACATTATTTGCATCTTTTTGTATATGTTTTATGAGCCATGTAGACGTAAACTAAAATGGCCAAACTGCAATGCAGCATACACTTCATCAGTTATGCAAACTCGGGCATTTATCTCAAAATCACAATTCCCATGGGTTGTTCAAGTAAAAATATGAAGACGATAGTTTTGCAACACAACACATTTCGCCTTTTAAAAACAGGACATTCAAATCTATGCATCCAGTCGTTAAAACTACACTCCATTGTTCTTTCTTTGAATATTCCTGTCTCCATCAGCTGTAATATACAGGCGAGTTTTCTTACTGCATTTAATGAAAATCATATTTAACGTGAACCATGTTCATGCATAAAACAACGAGCACTATTTCCACCAAAAAGACAGACAGACAAAAGAAAAAGCCAAGGGGCATAATCCTCAATCCTACCTCCCCATTTGGGCTTTCCTTCCCTGATGAATATCTGACCTCCACACCTGCTTGTTGATCGTCCGTGTTGCCGGGAGAGTTGGTCAGTGACCCTTCCCGGGCCTCGCTGGACGTCTTGCCGACGGGATCACCAGCATCCAAAACCCTCTGCCGGCTCCCGCTTCTCGGGGTGCGGCTGCCTTTCCTCCCAACCGCGTAGTTATCGAAGTCTATAGTCTTGCTTTCAAACGCTCCCTCCACGGAGCTGAACATTCCGTAGGTTTTCCTTTGGTTCGGCCCGGTGGGGATCGGCCCAGCCAGGTAGACCGGCAGCTCATCCTCCCGGTTCCACTGCCTCCTGCAGTCAGACATAGTTGCTTTCACGGCTGAGTCTCCCCCAAATGTGAAACGATTGAGACAGAAGCTTAGCTTGTTTTACCTCTAACTGGGTCACGGAGAGCCCCGCCTCTGAAGCATACTCTGATGCTGTGAAGTGTGAAAAAGCAGCGCTCTACAGGCATTCTGATCGGTATTCAGATCTTAACCTGTGAAACAGTAGCAGCAGCAACATAATGTAGATATATTTTGTTAAAAGTAAAAGTATTCCATTCAATATCGTACTCAATTAAAAGTAATCAAAATATTCATAAAGTACCAAAAATAAAATACTCATTACGCAGAATGGCCCATTTTAGAATAATTTGTAGTATAACTTTGTTATTATTTTCGATGCAATCACTTTTTTCATTACTTGAAAGCACCTACCAAAGATGGAGCTGTTTATTTTTGTTCTATACACTGCCGGGTAATGTTCAATATCTTGTCATGATGTATTAGTTGAGTTATATTTTGCAACTAAAACCTGAAACTGTAAAAGCTGTAAAGTGACTAAAGCTGTAAAATAATGTACAGCATTAGAAAGTACAATATGTGAATTGTAGAAAGTAAATGGAAATGCTCAAGTAAAAGTATACCTCAAAAGTGTGCAATGCTACTTTAAAACACTGGTGGGGTGTCAGTGTTATCTAGTTTAGTTAGCACCGATTTTAAAAGAAAAGTGACCACAATTAAACATGCAGACAAATATAAGAAGTGTATGTCTCTCCACCCCTCTTTCCTGCCTTCCAATGTAAGGGCTGTGCGTAAGCAGATCACACTATCAGTGGATTAAACCAGCATGTGTCATCCTTTAACCCACATCTGGAGGGAGAGATGGATTTTAAATGTGTCTGTGTGCTTTCAGGAGGACAGTCGGTCAACGTTATGAATAAAGCCTCGAGGTGTAGAACAATTACAATGAATCTTTCCATGACTTCTCAGACCCCACCGCAAGGGATGGTCAAATGCATCTTGATAGACAGGTAAAAAGCCCCGGGGCTGGTGCTGTTATTTGCAATGGGCTGTAATCAGTGACCTATATATGCTAGTGGGATGTTTCCTAATGCCAGCAGAGAGTCTTGTTCCAGGCAAAAGAGAGTGAGTGAGAAAGAGAAAAGCTACTATGGTGGATGATGTCCTTTTAGTACATAAAACCTCAGCTACACACAATGCCTTTTGGAGTGCACAATACTCATATTTAGACTCAGTTTTCTCAAAGCAGGCCTATAGCTTTGTAGCATGTATTGTGATGATTATTTATAACATTAATAAGAATATTAGATGCAACTTTAAGTGTACATATATGCATGAATTATGAAAACCTCAGTCAGGATTTTTTTACCAAGTGTTTTTATTGTTTTTAATCTAGTTTCTTCACATTTAGAAAAACAAATGTTTTATATATCCACTCAGGTAGACAGTATGCGTTAAAGTTTGAACTGAAGACATGTACATTTGTAAAAAATTATAAATAAAGATGTGCACATTTTAAATTGCATTATAATAACATAAGTAGGCTATACTGATTTATGGCCCAAAAAGATATTGCAAATGAAGTATTTTCAAGAACAACAGTAGCAGTAACAGTATGAATTGTAGTTTAAATATAGCCAGTGATGCATGACGTCCACTTTAGTGGACAGGTGATTCATCATAATTTCCTGCAAACATAAAATCAATACTTTGACAATTTATGAATTATATGTTTCCTTAGTTGTTACTTGATGTCACCAACATTGTTATACCTGCAGGGGGCGCTTTCCATAAAATAATTGGCAAGATATCGACGGGTGATTCGGTCCATCTGGTTTCTGTCGTCCATCTTGGTTTAGAGAAATGTATCATGCACTTACACTGACTTTCCACTGAGTGGCAGTGTATGGGATGATGCAATAGGGTCCTACTGTATGTCGTGGCTGATGGTGCAACCATGCCATCAAAACCCATGCATGTACAAGAAAACTATATCCACTATAGCCTCTATGCGTGAAAGGGTTGATTACCATTTGTGTTAAACAAATATAATATGACAACAATATAATAAAACATTATCACTTTTTACACCTGTAACGTGTTGTTATATAAGGCCTCTGAAGCAGAAGTTAACGTTTAAAAAAAATAATAATAATCTAATATGGCCCTAGCAGAATGATACTCATATTAACTAAACTGTACTGAATAACTAATGGTTAGTTTGGTTAGATGCTTATTTGGCTATGTTACACTTTATCATTTTATTTACTTGAATCTTGACAAATTAATTCCAATTAAACAAAGAGATGAGTATAAAGAAACGTTTCTAGGTTGGTGAGTTAATGGAAGATACTGTATGTAAAAACATTTACTATAGCATTGTAAGGACATAGGCCCCATTGTCAATGTAAATATGGTCTTTAAAAATAAACATTTTCATTTAGTAAAGCTAAAAGAGGTGTACATAATGTTGCAGCTTTTGGCTTTAAGCTACACTATTTTCTTTACAGGGCCACTGCCAGTCCTCCAGTGAAGCCTTAATATAAAGTGGAACCTACCTCTACTTGTCAGTAGTCACCGTTGTATTGTGGCCATATGGAATAAATGTCAGACTCAAGAGTAGGCCTAGAGCTTTTGACCCATGATCCACTTCAATACTGCAAACGTTTTGTTGAAATACTATGGTCTTATTCGACACCAATAACCCACTACTCGTTTTTTAAAGTTTTTAAAGAGAGAGCGGTGAGAAACCCTTCGAAGACACGACCGAAATTGTTAAAAAATGCCCCTCACAAGTTTACAAAGCAAGAAGCCAATACTAACCAATCAGGTGTGTTGGTCGTTTGACTGGCAGTTTGTTCACCCTATCAAGGACGAGCAGGGCCGGACTGGGACAATAAGTCAGGCCGGGAATTATACACCCAGGCCACTACCAGTTTTTTGGGCCATTTTGCTGGATCTATTTGTCAATTGTTACAGCGTTGCTGCCCGTAGTGATAGCCCTCTAAATCTACCCAAAAATAAACATATGGACATGGGTTACTATTTAAAAAAATGTGCAAATCTATTTAGGAACCTATGTGAACATATTTTAAGTGGGGGTGTACCTCAAATCTTATAGGGGGGTCCGGGGGGTCCCCCGGTAAGATTTGTTTTTAAATGTTGGACTTAAATGCATCAATCTGGTGCATTTTGAGGGGGAAATACACAAATACACAAGACTACTACACCCATATGAAACATAACTGTATACATTTAAATAATCATAAAATCATAAAAACATGGCCATAACCAATAACATACCATATCCAAGATGAAAAAACTGAAACTTGTTTATTTATTTGTTTTTGGTTCATTTATAGTTGTGAGTGTGTCTGTGCTCCTGAACCAGCCTCACCTGTCTCCCTCCTCTGCCCCTGCTCCTCTTTGAGGCAGCAGCAAAGACTAGTTTTAGCTCTCAACAAGTTGTAATAGTTTATCTTACCTTTTTTCACCTAGTTAACGTTTTTTAAAATTATTATTCATGCATTTTTACTAATCACTCCCCCTTCAAAATGGAAATATGTGTTTACATAAATGATGACCAAACCGTTTGAGACCCACTGAGATAACTTAGACTAAGTTAACTATCTAAGCACTCAGAGAGTAATTTACCTCACCTGAGCTGTAGTTATCAGTCTCTCAGTCTGACAGGAGAGGACTCTCCTCCACCTTGTTGTTGAAAAAGCTCCTTATATCCCTGAGCGCAGCTAGCTAGCACCAGATGCTAACAACAACAATACACGTAACCGGCGCGCGCGCTTTATCTCACTGGCTCGCGCCACACATACACTAACACACACACACACCCTCCCGAGCTTGAATGAAACACAGAGACCAATCGAGGGCTTTAGTGTATGATCTGTATGAAAGTGGCCATGTCGGCAGGCCACATCATGTGTAGACAGCCAGTCACCCTCTGTGAGGCAGAGTCAGACCCACATTTGCGCAGCGTTGCGTTCACAATACATACATAAAAAAAAAAAATCCTTAGGCCAGCAGGCCATTTAACAGGCAGGCCATCGGGAAACCTCCCAGTCCTCCCGGTGGCCAGTCCGGGCCTGAGGACGAGACTATTTCAAGAGGGCAGGCCCTAAAGTTATGGTGTTGTTATAGACAAGACACATGAGCATTTCACCCCTGCCAGTGTGCGTGTCTTGTTGCGCGGAGCTGTGTGGATTGCATGGAGCTCAGCATGGACTACAGATACAACTTTTAAATTCAGTCGGACAATTTACTTTTTATCCTGAGGACGTCTGCTCACTAAGTTACCAAGTAAGTCTTGTTTCTTTTGTTTTAGTCAGTTTTGATTGATTGATTGAAAAGTGTATTAACAGCTTGTATATTGGGTACAGTACAGTACAGCTCAAAACATACAATTGTTAAGGGGATGCAGACCAGAGAAAGACTTTCGTCTTGTTTACATCAGGGTCCCCCATTTCCAATTCATCATATCATTTAAGACATATAAGACATATTTGACATACAGATGGCTTATTTACAATTTACTTACAGGTGGTTTTTTACATACAGATTGCTGTCATGGCGCAGGTTTAGTGGCAAGAATTAACCTGACATGAGTTCCCGTACTGTATTACTCGCACATGTAGGCTACCATGTGATGCATGTGGAAAACTTCTCTAATGTAACCCCTTAATATTTTAATTTCTAACGAAAGTGTCTGATCAACAGAATGTTGCTACTTACAATTGCCACTTTGTTTTGTTTAGTTGCATGTGCATGTGCAACAGCGTTTATCCTATGTATTTCTACTTTCACAATGTTGACAGGATTCACTCGTGTTTCAAAACTCCCTAAGGTGTCATGTTTTAGGTGCAAACTATTCAGAGGATGTTGTCCTCTCTGACAGGGAGCTCACAGTGTCAGGCCCACAGCTGTGTCTTCACTTACCACTCACTATTTGAAATGACCTCGATTATTTTGCTACAGTGTATGCTTGAAATTAGCTACATGATAATTTACTAACATTTTTTTTCTTTTAATTCCAGAAGATATGGAGAATGATGTCCTATCCACTGCTGTCAACACCCAGGGGTCATGCCCTATCCTGGATGGACCCTCTCTTCCCTCCCCCATCAATTCTCCTCCTGTAGTCTCCAATAACATCTCTGCTTCTGCCTCTGACCTTGCAAAATCTTCATCCTCAAAAGAGACCACCTCAGAACCCAGAAAATTAACTAACTCCTCTCAAACATCCGCTCACACCATTTCTTCCCTTCCTTCTTTAGAGGGTTCAAAGCCATTAAGTCCCACTGTGCTCTCTGAACCTGCACCTAAACCCTCCTCTCCTCCTCCAAACAAAACTGCAAACTGCTCTGCTCCTGAAATCCCAAAAATGTCATCCCTTTCCAAACTCAAATCTGCCTCCTTCACATCTGCTACCATGGCTCTTAACACTCAAACAGATTCCTCTGACTCTTCCTCCCCTCCTGCTTCCACTGTGGATCCTGCAACTTCTTCCAGCGCTACTGTTAAACGCACCTTTGCCTCCATGGCCAAGCGGGTAATAATACAGGAAAGACTAAGGAAAGCCGAGGAGGATGAAAAGGATATAGAAGATGGTAAGAATGCCTTTGCTTTGAGTATTTGATTAAATTAGACTCCTAAAAAGTTATCAAAGCAGAGTTAACCCGTCTTGGATAAACATCTCTTTATCTTTACTTAGTCACCTTAATCTTGTTTTGTAAAGCAACTTGGGCTGCTTCTATGCATACAATGTGTCATACATAAACAGACATTAATACAGCAATTTAATTAAATTAAATAATGGTGTTTTTACTATCCAATGGCTCCATTTCATTCGACATCTACACTGTTAACTAATGGTTTTACTCAGTGACTGAAGTTCTAGAGAGAGTAAGGGCCTCCACATATACATTACCTTCTCCTCTTTACTGTTTGACTGGCAGGTTAAAAGTAGTCAGCATATGTACAAATACTTTGGCAGCGTCTTCCCTTTTGCCGTGCATGGAACACATGCCTTGGTGAACTTCTTTAGTAATGCTGATGGTTGGTTAATCTCCTATGTGGTCCAAATTGAAATATCTCAGCCACTATAAGATACATTGGCATGAATGTCTGTGCTTATATTCTAAAGGATGAATCCTAGAAGCGTTAGTGGTTCCATGGTCCCTTTTTCTAGCACCAACAGCAGGTTGGCATTTTTGGCTTTTCATGATATCGACTGGAGTGTCATGACTTTTTGTACAGACATCCATAGTGCCCAGACCATGAATTATAATGACTGGTGATCCCTGACCTTTTATTTGGCGCTTCTATGAGGTTTATATACTGTAAATATGGTTCTGAGAATATTTCATTTAAAAAGTTTTGTAATCCTTTTATTGTCCCAATTCCCCTGTACCGTATCACGTGAAAGCATGATAAGATCCATATGTTAGCATTGTCTTTGTGAATATGTTAGCTTGCTGACATTAGCATTTAGTTAAAAGCAGTGCTGTGACTATGTAAAGATTCACATGCTAGTATTGGCTAGCCTTTTTGTCTTGTTGAAGACATCGGGTACATACTCACCTTTTGTGAGGAACTTTTAAGGAACCAATTTACATTTTACAATTAATGATACCTATAGGTTTATTTGTAACTGATTTGAATAATTACTCATTTAAACTCTGATGTTTGTATTCCCCCTGCTGGAAGTGAAACAAACAACTGTAAAATATTTTTGCTGTACATAAGAGGCTGTGACATTTGAAATAGGGACACAGTCAAAGAGGATGAACCCTTGTGCTTAAAGGACACTGGATTGACAGAAGCAGTTATGAAACGCAATGCAATTTACAAGTAATGGTGTGACATAGTATCGATGAACAGTGTTGAAGAAGCTCTCGGGTCTTGTCACAGGATATCTGCTCAGAAAGACAGATGTACCTATTTGCACATTGATCCTCTGACTTCTAGTTATTCTCATGTTACAAGATAAGTCACGGGGATTCATTTATCACTGGCCGTTAACATATAGTTCACAAATCAGCACTGTGTCCCACTGCTCTTTCATTACAGGCACTCTCTGATACAAGTTTGTCAGTGACAGTTTTATGTAATCCATTGATTGAGTCGTTTTTGATCCCCTCTGTTCACCTCCAGATGACGAACCAGAGGAAGATTTGTCTTTGGAGCAGTTGGAGGAGAATGCCACTGCGGGTGATGCCAGAGCCCAGACCCGGGTGAGTTAAATCTCCCAGACTGGCACTTGGCATTGTTTTCAGTCCTGCTGGTTGCCTCAGTCTGGTTGTGAGCATGTGTCTATTTTTGTCCACTTGGAAGATGATTCCATGCTTTTCATATGATACACCAAAATACTTTTGGACATACAAATGAACACTTTTACAGTGTATTGCAGTGCTGCACTGAATTTGTAAATGTTAAAATATGCATACTGTCTTTCCTACTTTTGGCTTCTAACTGGTACATGTAAAAAGAGGTGCTGGCAGCAGAAAAAGGGGGGGCTTAAGGTGGAAGATGAGCCTTTACATTTAATACCCACTAGCTCTGAAAGGCTACATTCCTAAGTGGCTTCTTATGTGGCTTAATCTTTCCTCTGCTACATGTCATGCATTTTCAAATACCAATAACCTAAATAACCACAGGGAACATGTGTGCCCAGACCAAGACAGTACATGGATACATTAAGGAACAGATAAGATGATCCAATGCTGTCTATACTATAATAGACAAGCTGTGCATTATGTAAGACATGCTATGCAAACATACAGTCATACACAGTACATTAAAGTAAGGTATATAGTTACAGTATGAGAGAAGCGCGACTACATTGTCAATTTGATATTTCACATATATATTTAATGACCATTACTGAGGGGAACCTGAGATCCAAAATGTGAAAATTACTGCTCTATTGTAGTTATTGTGCACATGACATTACCCACTTAACATAACATTAAAGAACTTGGAAACCTGAAATGCGTTCTAATAAATCAGGTTTTTGAGATGATAGGCTTGTTGTATCTAACTACTTGCTTATCTTTCTTACAGTGCAGACGCTTTTCTGCTTGCTCTTGCCTCTGCTTACTTTTTATGCTGATTTTCCTATTCTTATTCTCTGAAAACTTCGAGCAGCGGCTCCTGGACATTAACTTATCACTGGGACAGTTCATCTTCGTAAATAGACGGAGGGTTTCAGCCATATTTCAACATTTTTACGACGACGTCAGTCTTACAATAGCGTGGCCTAGCAACAGCTAAAGCCTGGTAGGCTACTGCTATTTAGCTTAAGCTAGTTGGTAGCAAAATGCCTCCGTTCTCTACAGATGACTTCCAGAAACTTATACAGAAGATGGCTGTGTTGGAAATGAAAATGCAACGGTTGGAAGTTAACGTGGAAGTGAATGGACTATGTCGTGGGAATGACACAACTTTACCAGTGTTGCTAAGTAATGGAGAAGGGTATGCTAACTCACAGCTAGTTAGCAGCTACAAAGATTCCAAGGAACAGGAGGGCTGTGTACCGGGTAATAAATCTACAAGTGGTAGTCCTCCCTGGAACTCTCTGGGTGCAAAGCCTAAGAGTAAATCACTTCCATGGGATTTGGGAGGACGGATAACAGGCAGAGCCCAGAGCTCCGAAATCTGTGATGCGACCGGCTGGCCTGCATTGTTATCACCCAGGAAGAGCGCCTCTTCAACCCCTATTCATACTAGGAAACAGCCGTGGACAGCTGCTAAAGGGAGAATTACAAACAATCCTCCTAAACCACCAAGTGTGCCAATCCAGAACAGATACGCTCCGCTGACCGAGAACCGGAGATCTGATGACCTGGATAACCTGTCCTCTTCACGCAGCAGGGTAAGGACCAATAGCTACTCTAAAAGTAAAAGGCTAGAGGGAAAGCTAACGACTGGGCCTGAAACTCTGATTGTGGGTGACTCTGCTGTAAGAGATGTAAAAGGTCTGTGTAATAAGAACAACACCAAAGTACTCTGTTTTCCCAAGGATGTGGTCTCTGACTTGGCTGAGAAGATCCTGCATATTGGGGCTGAACATCCGACTGTGAAGAATGTGGTACTGCACATTGGAACAAATGATGTTGTGAAACAACAGTCAGAAGTGCTGAAAGAAGACTTTAAATGTTTGTTGGAAACTGCCAGCTCTCTAAATGCAGAGGTGTTCATCAGTGGCCCTCTACCGCCAGTCAGAAGAGGAGTGGAGAGATTCAGCAGATTGTTTGCACTGAACACGTGGCTTTCAACGGCCTGTACTGACCATTCTGTTCATTTTATTGACAATTTTAACTTTTTCTGGGATCGCAGACATCTTTTCAAGGCAAATGGAGTTTGCCTGAACAAGTCAGGAGTGAAATTGTTTATCTCTAACATATTCAACTGCCTGCGTCATCAATCTGTTCCCTCTGCCAAGGACAAGCGGCAGGAGGAATCAAAACACGAGAAAGACACAACACATCACGCAGAAAACCCTGAAGAATTATCACTGCACCCGCCTGAGGAATGTTCTGATTATGGGAGACATATGAGACACATGGAGGAGTCTCCACTGCCCGTCACCCCCTCCCCCCCTGTCAACGCCTTTGAGGATACTCCGTTCACCCTTTCACCCTCGCCCACCCTCCTGGAGATCGATGAACACACAAAGGAGATACAGAGGGTTGGCACCGATTCCTTCCTGGAGTTCAAAGACCAAACGAAGGCGATACGCAGGGCTGGCACCATGTCCTTTACCCCCCGCTCCTCAACGACGCCCACCAAAATCACCGCGGAGACGCGCACCATCTCCCCCGTCCTCATCACCGCGCCTACGTCAACCACCTCCCCCCCCTGGCAGCATGTCCCTCTACCCCCCGCACCATCTAGCCCGTCTCCATCACCGTGCCTACGTCGACCACCTCCCCTCCCTTCGAGGGGGCTTCTGCAGTCTCCGAAGCCTGATAAGGATGTGTGTGTACAAAACACAACAAACTCTTACTGATATGTGATGGGTCCAGGCTCAAGGGCGTATGGCACTCTCAACTCTTTCAAGGACATGTCGGGGCCCTGCCTGCCAGTAGCTTTGCCGATATCTGTGTTGATAGGTAATAGATTAAGAGCGGTGAATCATAGAAACAGGAAGCGCTCAAACGTTTGTGTGAGTGTATCTAATTTAGCAGTGATTGCATGTCAGCCACAGCTTGTTACAAAAAACATGACTGATAGTGTGTTTAACAAACTTAAACTAGCTTTATTAAATGTCAGGTCTTTAGCAGGAAAAACATTTTTAATCAATGATTTTATCACTGAGCACAATCTCGATTTTATGTTTTTAACAGAAACTTGGATTGAACAAAATAACAGTGCAGCTGTTCTTATCGAATCAACCCCTCCCAACTTCAGTTTTATGAGTCAGGAAAGAATGCATAAGAAAGGGGGTGGAGTTGCTATTCTGTTCAATGATGCCCTTCAATGCAGGAAGACATCTTATGGAAACTTTGATTCTTTTGAATATGTGGCCCTCCGGCTGAAATGCTCCTCTCGAGCTCTGTTCCTAAATATCTATAGACCACCCAAATACTGTGCAAGCTTTTTTGATGACTTTACTGAACTGCTGTCTATAGTGTGTATTGACTTTGACCGTCTAGTCATTGTTGGTGATTTTAACATCCATGTTGACAACCCCCAGGACAGAGGGGCTAAAGAACTGTTTTGTGTTCTTGATAGCTATGGACTGACTCAGCATGTGACGGAGCCCACGCACAATAAGGGGCACACTCTGGACTTAATTATCTCAAAGGGTCTGAATATCTCTAAGGTTGTGGTGACTGATGTTGCACTCTCTGACCATTCCTGTGTTTTCTTTGAGAGCTCTATTTCTGTTCACAAAAATGTTCAAAAAGAGGTAACCACAAAGCGATATTTAACTGAAAACACTAGGGAAATGTTTACTCAGAATTTCTCTTCCACACTTGCCCCTGCCAACATCTCAGTAAATGAGCTAGTAGATCATTTTAATTCAAAAATTAAAAATGTTATAGATGCCATTGCTCCAACTAAGGTAAAGGAAGTGTCTGGCAAGAAAATATCTCCATGGAGAAAGGCCATGACCGTGAAAACAGAAAAAAGAGAATGTCGAAAAGCTGAACGCAGGTGGCGAAAAACAAATCTCCAGGTTCACTTTGAAATCTATAAAGAGAGACTTGGCCTCTATAATTTGGAATTGAAAAACGCACGACAATCGTTCTTCTCTGACATCATTACCAAAAACAAAAACAACGCACGTGCCTTGTTTGCTACCGTCGACAGACTAACTAACCCCCCAGTGTCAGTAGCCTCTGAATTTCTATCCACCAGGGCGTGCAATGATTTTGCCTCCTTTTTCACTGACAAAATTCAGAAAATCAGACAAGCAGTCAGTGCCTCTGCATCAGGAACAGTAAATGTGTTGTCCCTATCTCCACTTAACATCAATTCAGACATCATGACACAATTCCATCAGATTAATGATAAAAACCTAGAGGACATTATTCAACTTCTGAAATCCTCCTCCTGCTGCCTTGATATTATTCCAACAGGATTTTTCAAAGATGTTTTGCCTTGCATGGCCTCAGATCTACTTCATATAGTAAACAAATCTCTTCACTCAGGTATTTTTCCACAGGCCCTGAAAACTGCAGTCATTAAACCGCTCTTAAAAAAGAATAATCTAGATGCTTCAGTAATGAACAATTACAGGCCCATATCAAACCTCCCATTTCTAGGTAAAATCATTGAAAAAGTTGTTTTTCAACAGTTGAGTAATTTCTTGCATTTAAATGACTGTTTTGATGTGTTCCAGTCAGGCTTTCGTCCAAACCACAGCACTGAAACTGCTCTTGTAAAGGTCTTTAATGACATCCACTTAAACACAGACAGTGGCAGAACTTCAGTGTTAGTATTATTAGATCTCAGTGCTGCGTTTGACACTGTTGACCACAGCATATTACTAGACCGACTGGAGAACTGGGTGGGACTTTCGGAAACAGTTCTGAATTGGTTTGAATCCTACTTAAAGGACAGAAACAACTTTGTTTCTATAGGTAAATACACATCTGAGTTGACAAATATGACATGTGGGGTTCCTCAAGGCTCCATCTTGGGGCCTCTTCTCTTTAACATCTACATGCTACCACTGGCTCAGATAATGAAGAACAACAAAATAAGTTACCATAGCTATGCAGATGACACACAAATTTACGTAACAATTTCACCAGGAGACTATGCTCCAATTCAAACACTGAGTAAGTGCATTGAACAAATCAATGACTGGATGTGTCAGAACTTTCTCCAATTAAACAAAGATAAAACTGAGGTAATGGTTTTTGGAGCCAAGGCAGAACGTATAAAAGTTAGCGCTGAGCTTCAGTGTGCAATGTTCAAAACAACAGATAAAGCCAGAAATCTAGGTGTAGTCATGGACTCTGACCTGAGTTTCAACAGTCACATTAAAACTGTTACTAAATCAGCCTACTATCACCTAAAGAATATATCTAGGATTAAAAGACTAATGTCACAGCAGGATTTGGAAAAACTTGTCCATGCTTTTATCTTCAGTAGACTGGACTACTGCAATGGTGTCTTCACAGGTCTCACTAAAAAAATCTATTAGGAAGCTGCAGCTGATTCAGAACGCCGCTGCTCGAGTCCTCACTAACACTAAGAAAGTGGATCACATCACTCCAGTTCTGAAGTCTTTACACTGGCTTCCTGTGTGTCACAGAATAGATTTCAAAATACTGCTGCTGGTTTATAAAGCACTGAATGGTTTAGGCCCAAAATACATTTCTGACCTCCTGCTAAATTATGAACCATCCAGATCTCTCAGGTCTTCAGGGACTGGTCAGCTTTCTGTCCCCAGAGTCAGAACTAAACATGGTAAAGCAGCGTTCAGTTATTATGCTCCAAATATCTGGAACAAACTCCCAGAAACCTGCAGGTCCGCTGCAACTCTGACTACTTTTAAATCCAGGCTGAAGACTTTTCTTTTTGTCGCTGCTTTTAATTGAACTATTCATATCTTAGACTGCACTGTAACTTTTATCCATGTACTTTTTTCTTTTAATGTTTAATTGACAGCACTGTAACTTTTATCCATGTATTTTTTCTTTTAATGTTTATTTTATTAGCTTTTCTTTTTAATGACTGATTTTAAATGCCATTTTCTTAATCTCTTTCATTTTTTGTAAAGCACTTTGAATTGCCTTGTGTTGAAAAGTGCTATATAAATAAACTTGCCTTGCCTTGCCTTGCCTTGCCTTGCCTAACACAGACAGAAATATATTCATATGGTTTCACATGATCTCGTCCCCCTATAAACAAGCACATTTAATGATAACTGTGAGAGAAGAAAGTTATGCAATGACAGTTAAGATTAGAAAACAGTCACTTGATATGCCTCTGGCCTGGGGCCCTGCCTCCCCCAGGCTGACAAACATTGGCACTGATGGCCACGGTGACAGGGAATTATGGGTTGTTTAGTCATCTGTTGTGTTACATGTACTTAACTTTGAACTTTCAGATTGTCACAACTTTCTACCAAAGAAATACAAATAGTGTGCCTTGAGTATCATGCAAACTAATGGCTGACTTTGTGTGACTGTGCTTGGATCAAGTTAGATCAAGCCCCCACGCTAATATCATCTCCCCGTCTGTATTTCAGCTGGCTCAGCACTACTTGCTTCTTTCTGAAGATAAGGACACAGAGCTAAATAGTCGTCTGGCTGTTAATTGGCTGATTAAAGCAGCTAAACAGGGAAGAAAAGGTGCATCAAGGGCACTGCAGCGCTGTTGGATCCAGAGAAAAGGTACCTTTACAAAATACAATAAACTGTAATTGTGTTTATAGTTTCTTAACTGTTCTTTGTCTGTCATCCTCTACTAGGAATCACCCCAGAAAATGAGGTGCACGTGCGCAAGTTGGCAACAGAGAGTAGGTTTGAGCTGGCTGTGCGTAAAGCAGCCATGATGATGTACTGGAAACTGAATCCTGAGAGGAAGAATAAGGTGGCTGTGTCTGAAATGCTGGAAAATGTCGGGCAGGTCAATGCAGTGCCAGGTGGGATGAATATCGAACTGTAATAAAACAAAGAAGAAGATTATAACATAATATTTTATTTCTTTTTATTTTGTATTTGTTTAACATTTCTTAAACAACATGCCTATACACAGAATTAAAGTCATGTGGACAAAGACAACATCAACACCATATCGAGCCTTTTATGAATTTTGACAACAATCCAGCCTTACGTACTACGAACTGCTCAGATTGCAGTAGCATCTTGTTATGATAGCTTCCATTGGGTCAAGTATATCATATATTTGTCATTTCATTATTTGCAGCTGTCATGTTGAAGAATATCACATTACATGCAGGCCTCCAGGAAAATATTTTTAACTTGAGTGATGTTGTGGTCGTTCTTTAACAGTAGGTGGCACTGCAAGCAGGAATCCTGTCCCAACCTCAGGCCAGACCCAGAAAGTATTGGAGAGCATGGTCAACAATAAGTGTAAGTATGCGGACAGAGGACACACACAAACCAAGAATATAATACGTTTTATTTTATAACCGCTTCCTTTCTGTGGTCTAAGCTTCTCAGATGGTGGACCTGGATGACTTTGTAGAGATGACTAAAAAGTATGCACAAGGTATTGTCCCCTCTACATCTCAAACTGACAGCCAGGTCGAGGCCAAGACTGAAAGCCCTACGCCTAATGACAGAAGAGAGGAGGTGAAAGACCATATCAGCAAAAATGTATGTGTCATCATAAAGACACAGGTGACATTATATGTTTAATTGTAACTATTCTGATATTGTGTTTAAAGCAGAAGGCTGAGCTGGTACCATCGACATGCAAGAAGGCCTATAAACGATCTTGGAGTTTTGGCCGAAGTGGGATGATGGACAATGGGGGAATGCAAAAAGCCATGGACATGAAATCACGCTTAATGGTAATCATAGCTAGTGTAACAATTCATTCTATACTGCTTAAATTATCCTTCATTACCTTTTGTTGTGGATGTTTTATGCTTGTTGACTTAATTTTCTTTCCTGGTTCTTGAATGATAATGTCTCTGGTCTCTCTGTATATTTGTTTTTCCTCACTTCAGATTCTGCAGTACCCGCTGCATGCCATCATTGAGATGAAACAGCACCTGGTGGACTGGGCGTCTCGGGCCGGTGTCCAGTGGCTGAGCACAGTCATCCCCACGCAACACGTCAACGCTCTTATTTTCTTTTTCATCATCAGCAACCTGACAGTTGACTTGTTCGCTTTTGTCATCCCCTTACTCGTCTTTTACCTGTCCTTCATCTCTATGATCATCTGCACATTGCGTGTTTTCCAAAGCAGCAAGGTGATTTATTTTTATTGCAAAAAACATTCTTGCTACATGTTTTCTGTTCTGTCAAGTAGATTATGTGGGAAGTTTTCCTTTTTGTCAACGCCTCTTTTACCATCTATGCCAGTGACTCATTAAGTAGAGTCATACAGTCATTTTTTTAAGTTTCAAAAATCACACCAATTTTATAATAAATCTGACCTGTTGCAATAACATGAAATCGAAATTTGCAGTTTTGGTGGTACTGCTTTATGAATATTAAAAATCTTATTTTTAACTCAAAGTATTCATGGGGACACACCCAGGGGCATACAGATTTAGAGCCCCCCATGGCTGTAATCTGAAAGATTTCACTTGAAGAGACACATACCAAATATTAAGAGATGCCAAATGCAAAGAAACGTAAATAACACACACAAAACAACTTCAAGTACACACTTAATGAGTAAAAAGAGGCACTTAACAACTACAAAAAGACACAACAACAAAAGTAGTTTGTGCCCAAATGCCCAATGTCCCATATTCCTCCTATAACTTTTAGCAATGTCTTTTTTTTCTTTGGCCTTTCATTGTTCTTCTATTTTCTGTCACAGACTTGGGAGAACTTCAGAGCCCTGACATCTCTTCTGATACGTTTTGAACCCAGCCTGGATGTGGAGCAAGCAGAGACCAACTTTGGCTGGAACAACCTTGAACCATACCTCTACTTTATTGTGTCCGTTTTCCTCGTCATTTTCTCATTCCCTGTTGCTGATAAGGGCTGGATCCCCTGTTCTGAACTCTCCACTGTGGCCATATTCTTCACTGCCGTCAGCTACAAGAGCCTCAGCCCCACTGCTGCGACGTATGCACGCCGGGCAATGGTCATAGAGGTTAGACAACACTGGCACAACATTATGATCAGAAACACAGTTTTGCATGTTTTATCCTATTAACATAAAAGGCGGCGTGTGGTGCAGTGGGTTGTGAGTTGGTATTCGGATCAGGAGGTCACAGGTTCAAACCCCACTGCAGTCAGCATGTCGTTGTGTCCCTGGGCAAGACACTTCACCCCAAATTGCTCCTGTGGGGATTGCCCACAGTATTGAGTATGTAAGTCGCTTTGGATAAAAGCGTCTAACAAGGGACATGTAATGTAATAATGTAATAAAATCACACGGGTATATTTACCAGTTACACTTCAACACAGAATAAAGCAAGTTAGTAGTTTGTCGATTTTCGACAGCTTCAAGGAAACCCTTAGTATTGTTTTGTGTGAATTCTCAAGTTTTTAAAGTTTAGCTTGAACTAAATCAAGTTTTTGTTTGTACTTTTAATCCAGGTCGCATCGTCTTTGTGCTGCCTGACCCAGTTCCTGCCAGAGAAAATGACAGTGCTCCGTTTGCTGGGGCGCACCGTTGCCACACTGCCACTAGGGGAGTCAGTGGTGCTGAAGCTCAGTCTCCCCTGCCTGCTGTATGTTTACCTGTTCTATCTGTTTTTCAGGTAAGTAGGAGAAAAGTGCTCTATTGGATGTTTGTTTAATAACAGTTCAAATACTGGATTGTGTCAATGGGCTTTAAAGTCCACTGCAGCTTTTTTTAATTATTATTTTTGCCCTTTGAAAATATATATTTATTTTCTCCTCTTTCCCTTTGTTCCACCTTCAGCATGGCCAGGATGCGTGGTTTCAGAGGGACGTACTGCTTCCTGGTTCCATACCTTGTGTGCTTCATGTGGTGTGAGTTCTCTGTGGTGCTCCTCCAGAGTTCCTCTGCCGTGGGTCTGATGCGCACCTGTGTGGCCTACTTCCTCTTCCTGTTTGCCCTGCCTGTTTTGGCTTTTGGCCTCGCTGCCATGCTCTTAATCCAGGTCTTCAAGTGGTTCCTGGAGCTGGAACTGATGAAGGTGATTGTGACCCTGGTGGTTTGTGCCATCCCTGTCACCCTACGGCTGTGGACACGGTTCAGCATGTCTATTCTGGATGTCTTCCACTCACTGACCCACCGCGGCCCAGTCAAACTCATCTTACTCTGTATCTCCATGGTGATCCTGTTCTTCTCTATCTATGTGTATCATGCAGAGGGACAGAAAGTGTACAATTCCACACTGACTTGGAGAAAGTACAGTCAGGTGTGCGGGCCACCTGCCTGGGAATTGAAAGGCAAGGCCCAAACGCAGCTCTTCTGTAGCCACCTGCATGGCCACAGAGTCACCTGGATAGGCCGTTTTAAGCATGTCCGGGTGGCTGATACGGATAACGGGGCACAGTCGGTCATCAACATGTTGCCAGTGTTCTTAGGAGACTGGCTGCGCTGCTTATATGGAGAGAAGTATCCCAAATGTGAACCAAAGAATGATACAGTTGCAAACCTAACAGCTGCCAATTTGGATGCATCTGCTACCTTTTCACTGCCCATGTTGCTCGGTACACAAGAAGAGGAAGAGATGTGTGAGATTAAGGCTCTGGCCAAGCACACCTGCCACATCAAGCGCTTTGACAGCCACCTCTTTGCGGTGACAGTAGGGATGATCGGGGATGCAATTGTGGAAGACCCAGCCAGGGATATAGTCCTAATAGCCAGCCATGAGTTCAAACAAGTTCTGCTGAACATAAATCCTGGTAATATGGTGGAGTTCAGCACCAAGTTGGACGGAAGTCTAGGAGACCGAGCTCCTTGCTTCGAGTTGAAGGCAATTCGCTGTCTGGAATGTGTTTCGTCTCTGCTGACTGGAGGCAGGCAGGTGAAGATAGAAGGGGACTGGAGACGCACCACAATGAGAGCCTTGAAGTTTGCCTTTGATTTTTTCTTTTCTCCCTTCCTGTCAGCAAAAATCAACACATAAGTAAGTCAACACGACAGTCAAGCTAAAGTATTAAGGATTCACTTACATCTCTTCAGGAAACTATGCTCTTCTTTTTTTTTGCATTGTGATCATGTTACTTATGTAACTTGTGGTAATGTTTACAATTTGATCCTACATGGATCTACAGTTCATGTTTACGTATTGCTTTTTTGACAATGCAATAGTTATCGTAACTTTAACGTTTTTCAAGGTAGTGCATGAGTTTACAAATATTTCACTTCTATGGTTCACATAACTTAAAAGCAGTCAATAACGGTCAGATATCAGCTTTGGGTTTAGACTTCTGTCACACTTGCTTTAATCCTGTTAAACCCAGAGACAAAAACAAGTATTTATTTTTATTTTTATCCAACATTAAAATATGACCTTGTAAATTCACGTTTCCATTTCCAGTATTGTTTTACATTTGATAAAAATCTGTAATTTGAAGGTGCAAGATTGTATGCAAAGAAGCTTTTGTTAAGTGCTGATTTCTACTAAAGATACAGTACACTTGTTGAGAATCAAAAGATCAGAGTGAAATGTATTTTTGATAAAGCAATATTGTTGCTGCTTTTAAGGAATGTCTTACTCATATTAGGAATATGTTTGCATGTACAGTATGTGTGTGATGTAAATGTCCATCTGGCTATTTATTTATGTAGGTTGTGTGACATATTATTTATTCTTGGGTCTGTTAGCAAAACATTATCTGGCTCTGTTGTCTTAAAAGTTTCTGGTCTTAATCTTATTTTTAATTGATGATCAGATTGTTCTGTGCCTTAAGCTACAATGTGCATTACATTTCAACTTAAAAACTAAACTTAAAACATTGACCTAGTTTTTTTTTCACGTTTGCATTGAGGCTGTATATAAACCCACAAACTTGTCAAAGTATGCAGCTGTAGTCTCAGTTTCATGGTTTGTATTTCGTACTCGACAACAAAATACCACAGCTAAGATGTCAAGGGTGAAGGGACTGAATTCACCGGTAGGTGAAACTTCTTAAAGTAAATTATTTTTTGGGTGGTTAATCCGACTGTAGACATACCAAATAAATATTGAATAGAGTTCATTCCGTAGAAATAGAGGGCCAGTAGTGTGAATAATTGAAATGACTTGTTTTGCTATATACTGTAGTACAGAGTGCCTTTACATTATTCTGGTGTTGCGATAATAAAAAAAACGAATAAATTGCCACACATTTAAAATATGCAACGTTGCCTCACTATATAAATAGAAGTATTAAGTATGTCTTTATTGCTTGAGCAAATTATTCGACTAAAACAGATTAAATAATTTTGAACTGTACATTTCAAATCATCAGAAAAGCTAAAGTCTAATCAAAGCTAAAGATGTGGCTGTTTTTCATATGATTAGCATTAAATACTTGCAATGCATAAAAAGCCATATATATGAACAGTATTAAACTGTAACCTCAATTCACCTTTTGAATGAAAATCATTGATTTCGGGCCTGTATACTGTGAATGAGTGCCTTCTTTATTCAGTAATGGAGCTTATGGGAGCGTGCAATGAGTAATAAAGTGCTTGTCTTTCAAACAAAACTTCCACACGGATGCTTTTTTCAGGTTCATAGTCTGAAAGTATTTCATTGATGAAAAAATAAAATGTCCAATGAATATATACACAAAGACATAAAACGATCCAATACATTACTTTGTCAGATTTCATGTTATTTTATTAATGCACATTCCTTTCATTCACCTCATTTGAGTTGTGTTTTTTTCATGTTAGACTTTTCTTTTTAAAATTATGATAGATATACACGCTAGTAGCATTGAGTAATGGCAACATGCAGCTGCTGTGCTCCTGAACACAAACCCTTTCACAGATTGCATGTGGTGATGATGGTTCTGATGTGATTACAGCTGACTTGCTCTAAACTACCGCTCACCATAGGAGGACTGAGAGTTGGACCTAGTATAATGCCTCAGGTGGCCTGTCGTGTCATTGTGGATTTTGTTGTGTTTTACACTTTGTTAAACCAATCAGAGCAAGACCGCTTCTGCATTCAACAACACTGGAGGACAGTGAAGACCAAAACATAGCAGCAGAACATAAATATCTGGGACTTTGAAACAAAAGGAGGAGAGTAGTGAGGAGAGCGCAAACAAGTAAAACATACTGACACTTTCCTTCTTTTCTCTGGGACTAAGGTTTACACCTTGAAACTGTGGTTTATTCATCAGTACTGGAAAGTGCAACCTTCACATCTGCACTGATTTTCTAATTCCCCCTGGGCCAAGGCCACTTGAGAACAATGCACTTCACTGTAAACAATCAAATATTGACCAAGTCACAGAATTTAGTCCAACACAGACATCGCCTTAATGCTTTACATCCTAAGCTATCCTCTTCAGAGTTGCATGTGGCACTGTGAGGTATATGCTATAATAACATTACCAATTTGTTACATGATCATTTCACAAGACATGGTTTGAATGCTAAAGTAATTTTTCGCAATGTACATAATAACCTATTGCACTGATGATAACCTTTGACCTTCAAATACACTGGACACAAACTCCCTCATCAAAACGTTGATTAGTTCAATCAGGAGCCTCATCTAAAACAAATGCCTTGATTCCAACCTTTCTTTGATTCCAAGAGACCTCTTCCAAATCTGCTGATGCCCATTTTAAATGAGCATAACACTCAGCATAAATTCAATAATTGTCTATTTTAGAAGGAATCACAAATCAGACTCACTTCGACACACACACTGTCGCTCTCATTTTCTGTAATTTACAGCACAGGTGTGTAGGCAAGAATGGGACGTTAATCAAAACTAACATGGGCTTTATATACACAACAAAACTGTGAATGTTGGTTTGTGCACAATTCAACCCTAGCTGGCCAGAGCCAGAAATACCTGTCTATGTACTGCTACAAAAAGAAGCCCCTTCATCGAGTCTTTAACAGAAATAGTGAAACTCTGCAATCCTTCTATACATTAGATCCCTGGTTTATATGCAGTGTACTAACTAGACAAAAAATGCATCCTTTAGCTGTCTGGATCCAAAATTGGTTCCACCTTAAAAAAAGAACATTGAATATTTACAGCTAAGAGTAAATATAGTGTATACCTGTAGAAGAAGAGCCAATATCTTAAAGCAGGAATACTGCTGCACTGTGTTTTCGTTAGTGCTATTATTGCAAAGTGGATATGGCAAAAATTATGGGGTATTTATGAATTATATCTCCAAGAGCACTGCTCTAAAAGGAGAGGTTCGGTTGCTGTTGTCACCCGATAGAGAGAAAAGAAGGGGTTCAGGATGTTGTTGTGAAGAGCTGTATAATAAAATCACTCAGTTAAATGTCTGGCAAAATAATTGTGAATCCGTCATCTCATTCCCTCTCTGTTACTACCATTCTCCTACTTTATATATGGTGTCCAAAGATACCAGAGCACATCAGTGAGGAGTGCAACATTGTGTGGTCAACAGCACGGAGTCATTACAGATGGAGAGGTGTCCCCGCACCTCTTTTAGTGCCCCTACAGTGGAGCAGATCTAAAAATGGGAGAAGTGGAACCAAAAACATGTCCTGATGGGTTCTGGAGTCGTCAACTTATCTCAGTGTTGAACAAATACACTAACAGTCTTGTGATTATATTATTTTTCCGACCTTACAACACAAACAGATGTTGCATCTCCGGATGTGAAACAGCTTTCTTTTTACTTAATCATCTTATAGAGGGTGTCCACTTCCAACGTCGTCAGTAAAACATCCAAATATATTTGGGTCACTGTTTGTACTTCTTTGTGTCTGTAATTGTCCATAATCCCATCTCTGTCACTGTAACTGCGTCTCAGGGTTGACACGGTCCTGGAAGATGTACAGGTTATTGGTGGCTGCTATGGCAATGATGTTCTCAGATGGGTGCCAAGCCATGTGCAGGATTTTCTTGGTAAAGTCCAGGCTATCAACGCCGACATCTCCGCGGCGACGCTTACCGCCGCTATACACACGTCTGGTCCGCAGCACTGCCCGAGGTTTGCTACTTTCTCGCCAAGCCTCCAGGGTTACGCCTCGCCCCGTCTCCCTGTCAAACATCCGGAAGAAGCTGTTGTACGCCCCTGTCATGATCACGCTGAGGAAAAGAGAGATTGACATAATGAGATGTCATATTGAGAAGGGCAAGAGAATGCAGTGAAAATATCTAACAGAAGAAAAAATATGGTTCGCAGAAGGGTAAGAAAGTGAAAAGAAAGAAAGTAAATTGAAAGCACACGGATTGATTAGATGTCTGCAAAGCCTGTCTCTGGGATTGATTTAAATGTCGGATAATGGCAGAGGCAGAGCATATAGGGGATTACTGAAAGCAGAAACACACTGACACACTCCCCCTCTTTTGCTTTCTAATGGAATTAAATATACTGTACTTTGTCTTTCTTTGCTGCCATTTATCTCTGTCACTTACCTGTCTGAGCTGTTCCAAACACACTCAAACTTGTCGAAGATGCAGTCGTTTTCATAGAGGGAACACAGCTTACTCCTCAGGTATTCATGGACCTGGGGATCGAGCAGACAGTCAACCTTAGTTCCTGGGGTAGATCAGAACTATACATGGTGGTTTAGTGGATCGACAACATGAAAAGTCTAACATCTACAACAACAAGCTGGATGTCATATTCAACAAATACAGGCGACAATAGTTACAGTTACTGGACATATTTACATTGAACGGTCTCCTATTATACTATTTTTAGACATATATTATAGGTCTCAGATATATAAAAAACATGTCTCTTAAGTGTTTGGCTCAAAATACCAAACAGATCACCCATTCTAGCCATGCCTCATATCCCTCTATTTCAGTCCTGTTAGAGAAGTGCTGATGCTGGGTCTGTAGCTTTAAGAGAGAGACGAGAGCTCATGCAGGAGAATTCTACCGAGATACTCAGCTAAACGCTGCCGTGATTAAACGCCATATTGTGTTCCAAACCACATCAAGGATTATTTCTGAAACAGTATGGAGCTCAAATGCTTTTTCTCTTGCGGGTTTACCACAAGGTGAGTTCCTTTGTATACCCTGCTTTTTTAATGCATACTCTCTCCAGTACAGGTTAGCTCTGAGTGTTAGCGATACTTGCTAATGTAAACAAAGACCATATTACGTCCAAAATACGTTGCACATTGTTTCTGATACAGAGACGTTTCTGAAGCCTGCCCACATTTCCGATATTACATCATGACCGCAGCAAATCTGGATAAGGAGGAAAAGATGTTCAGCTTTTCACTGACACATGGAGACAAAGATCAGGGAGCAGATGCGCTAACATACCTGGTATGTCTCCACAGGCCCCTTGTCCATGTTCAGGTCCCACACCTTGGCGGTGAGGTAGTCTCTGGTCAGCAGGTAACGTCCACTGTGGCTGAACTTGACGTCCGACACAGAGGAAATAATCTCAGAGAAGAAGGACCGACTCCCGGGATCCTCAGGTTCCTCGAACACTGACCAATGACAGAGTGATCGATTATTCACAACTATCATTGCATATTTTGTTTTGCAAAATGTTGTGAATGTCCACAACATGCTCACATTTGGTGTGTCTGTCACAGAGAGCGGAAGATCTCATGTCACAGAGGCGCAGGGTCCCCTTGCTGCTGCTGTACACAAACAGGTGGCAGTGGTGGGGGTGGAACTCCGCTGCCGTTATCACCTCCGTCAGATCCTCCATGTTGGCTGGTTTTATGTCAACAATATCTGAGAAAAAGGTCTGTTAGGGACTGAACATCACAGAGATTAAACCACAGCCTTGAGTATCAAAGGCTTCTAGGATAGACAAGGTGTGATGACACATGTTGTGGAATATGGCCTAATACTTTTGCAGTGTAGAGTGACAAGGCACATTCGCAGAGGAATGACATACACAATAAGGCAGAGTGAGGGACATCACATTTATCTTACATCCTTTTCAGTATTGTGTAATGTCTTCAGTTCCAACATGTTCTCCCAACACCTCAATTTATAATCACAACCCCAAAAAATGCTTCCCAACCAACCCCCAATATGCATGCACACTACGCTTCTCTCTTTGTTCTATTTATGTCAGTCCTGCGTGGTTCAGTAGAAAGTGTACTGCTGAGTGAATAATTTAAACTCTTCTTCCATAGATGCTTCTTTGATTTTCTAGGTCAGCTTCCATTTGAATGGGAAATCACCACATGCCCCCCCCCCCCCCCCTCGTCCTACAAGCTATGGCCTGCGCTGAACACACAGCACTCTAATCGAAACCCAATCTTACCATAGTCACTGGCTGTTTATATTAATTATACATCAAGGATGAATTGAGATCAGCAGGAATGTAAAAGTATATTTCAATTGTATGCGTTTTTAAAGAAATGGAATTGTGTGTGAGCATTAAGAACATGTGCATAAAGTTGAACATATATAGGAGTTAGTGTGCACTAACAGTATACTTGAATACATAGATTCAGCGACAAATAAATGTTATCTGGCTCAAATCTAAATGTCATTATCTTTTAAACAACTTAATAAGATTTCATTGTATGTTTTGTTAATGACTTATGTCAACTAACCCCAAAAATAATATTGCATTTTTATGACAGTATTTAAACTATTGTTTTAGAAAAAGTATTTTTACTTTAAAATCCATCCTGTTATATGTTTCACATTACTGCTGCAGTAAAGACTATGATTACACTCTAATAGTTTAATAACAGTGATAAAGATGTCATTGTATTTTCAATCAGTTTCAGAATTTCTGGGCATTTCAAACCTTCCTTGAGTAAAAGATTATGTTACATACAAAAATAAATATGTATGATACAAAAAAAGGATACTGAAACTGCGGTCTGTGATGCCCAGGTTCCACATATTGATGCGGAGGTCATCAGCAGACAGGTAGGTCTCCCCGTCGCTGTTGACCGAGATGGAGTTGACATGGTAGGTATGTCCGTTTGAGAACACACGTCTGGGACGAACCTCCACCATCAGATCTGTGGGTCTCAGCACCGGCACCTTGGATAAGAAGACAGAGAGCGCATGAATGAAAGAGGCGGAAAGAGAAAGGGGGTAAGAAATAGGGTGATAGAAAAAAAACAAGGCACACAGGATATAGGACTTGAGAGTCAGGGGTCACATGAGGTCGCTACAACATTAACCTGATGGCAGATGGCAATAATGGTGACCTTTTATGGGCTTGTGTGTGTGTGTGTGTGTGTGTGTGTGTGTGTGTGTGTGTGTGTGTATGTTGTGGTGTGTGTGTGTGTGTGTGTGTGTGTGTGTGTGTGTGTGTGTGTGTGTGTGTGTGTGTGTGTGTGTGTGTGTGTGTGTGTGTGTGTGTGTGTGTGTGTGTGTGTGTGTGTGTGTGTGTGTGTGTGTGTGTGTGTGTTATATGTGTGTACCTGCAGAGAGGTGATGGTGGAGATGTCCTTGAGCCGTCCCTCCTCATCTTTCAGATTGTATCCCTCTGGTCTCTTGTCTCTCTCACTCACCTTCCACAGTTTAATGGTCTTATCTGTGACAGGCAGAAAGATGTGCACATCTCAGGAAGTTGATTTTGCTGAGAGAAAGCTGAGGATAATTGCTACACTCAGTGGAGAAGACACCTGATAATGATTTATTACTCAAATAGCTAGTTTCCACAGCAATTTAGATGATCATCTTATTACAGGAATATAATGAAAGCAAATATAACAATATTTGGTTTCACACCGGCAGGATGGTGCCACTTCTGGACCCACAGATGTGACTCCGATGACTGGCTTGGTGTCATATTTAACCCCTAGGTAATGGATGAAGCCAATCCTTCCTGTCATTTTTTATATCAATCAAAACGTATGCATTTATCAGTCTATATCTCAACAAACAAGCTGCACACGGGTCTACCAGATAATCCTTACTTGTATTTAGAGATCTAGTTTATGTCCTTGGTTAACTGGTTTCTCACCATTGGTGGAGAGGAGGAAATGTGCTGCATTCTGCTGTGGCAGCCATCTGATCTTGTTGATTTTCTCTTCAATCTCCAGACTCTTCAGGTAGTCAAAGTCCGGCTCGTGGCTCTGGAATGTGCTGTAGACATTGTATTCCCCAGAGTCCCCTGTCTCCCCCACCTCCTCGGACTCCCCTTTAGACTGTCCGTGGAAAATGAGGAAGAAAACAAAGTTTGGAAGAACGTTAATGTGTAATGTGCCGGTAAAGCCAGCATGCAGTGGTTAAGGGGGTAGGTAGTAACCAATAAGTCATGCTTTATGGACACCCTGGTCATAGGGTGATAGTTTTGATTATTTTACAGGTTTAACCCACATCTGTCTCTCTCTGAAAGATGACCACTCGGCCACCTTTATCCCCAGTGGCCAGCAGGTCCCCTGTCTGGTTGAACTCCACTGTAGAGATGACATCAGCTAAAGAAAAACAGAAAAAATGTGAGGCAAATAACAGTTAGAATAAAAGACAAAGGGCTGAAAGAGATATAAAGATGATAGGATTCCAAGAAGATTAAGTAGGCACAGGGAAAATGAGGGGGGAGAATTCAGAGAAATGTGGATGGGATAGACAATGAGAAAATGATTTATACATTTTAAAACGTGCCCCAACAATGAAGTGTCTGAAGTGATCAATGTCAACATCCATTCTCTATATTTAGCAGTGGTACGATAATGCACTTACAAAGCTGAAATGAATCCACTCACTCATACCAGCATGTTATCTGACACCACAGAGACAGCAATGACACACCGTCTGTTCTACCTTCTGTGACGTAGTCTCGCAGGAAGGTGTGGTTGATTTTGGGGCTCTCAGCGTCCTCGCCCATCTGAAGCTGAGGTAGGGTGACCCGCCAGCGCACCCGTCCTGAGGGGAAGGGTCCGATCCGTGCTCTCTCTCCCTGCCCAGGCTGCGCCCATGCTGCTGGGGCCTAGCGGAGTGGCCTGGAACAAGGCATCCTGCAAAACCAGCCAGCCGGAAGCAGAAGAGGTGAGAAGCGGAGATGGAGATGAGATTTGGAGAGGGAGGAGAAAGACGGGTTTTAAGAAAGAAGAAAAGGAGTGAGAGGACGAGAAAATATTGGAAAGACAGGAAAGATGAAAGTGGTGAGGTAGAAGATGTGAGGTAGTGAGAGGAGGAGAGAAAGCCTGGTGGTGAAGTTGGAAAGAAAAAAGAGGTAGGCTGTCATAGGCGGGCTCACAATACATGCACACAGCATACCAAATGGTGTGACCTTTGTTAGACATTCAAGACACTCATTAGCAATGATACACGTGTGCAAAAGAACAAGGCCTAGTCAACGCTGAAGCAAATCCCAGAGCTGTAGAATGGAAGAAAAACAACAAACATCTCTAGCAGAGAAAGAGAGAATATAAATCCTTCTGTATGCACACAGAAACAAGAAGAGGATATAAGTATGTACATGTCTACTGTAACATTCAGCCTGTGTAGCTCCGGCAGAGGTAGTAAATGCTCGCAGGGTGTGGTAGTTCTCCCTGGTTACTTTCTAGATACCATCTCTCACACACACACACTTCTCAAATAGATAGTCCTTGACGGAGATCAGAGGAGAACGCAGTGTCTTGCCTGTGCGGCAGGAGGGAGACAGGCCTCAGCACACCTACCAGTCTGCCTGCTGCTGCTGCTGCTGCTATTCCTGCTGGCATGCGTGTGTGTCCTCTGCTGCAGAGTGCCTGAGCAGGCCTGTGTGTCTGTCCGAGGAGGAGGAGAAGGAAGAGAAAAGAGAGAGCAAGGGTGGTGGTGAGAGGAGGAAAGGCAAATGAGGAGAAAAAAGAGAGAAAGAGAGAGGGATAATGAGGAGGATGGAGGTTCGCTGCCTGCTGATGCTGTAGAAGTGATTCTGTGCAGCATCCACTGTGTCATGGCAGCCTCCTCTTGGTGCAGCCAATCAGAGCACATCTGTCACCCATGGACCAGCCCACTGCAGATGATGAGGGAGTAAGAGGCCAGCAGAGGGAGCAGTTTGACAAACAAGTGGTGTGTAAACACTGATTCAGAATAAAATGTGGGGTTTTTAAAGGAAGTGCATTTAAACAATAGAGCATTCCTTAAAAAATGAATTAAATGTACACACACCAATGATTGCGTCCATCTCAGAGACTGTGTATCAATGGAATAAGTGACAATTCAATGGAACTTGTTCTTCACTAACATATTTTGAAAAGCTATTTCCTATGACTTTTTTGTTGTTCATTCTTTCAATAACTAAGAAGATGTTCCTGACTCTTTTTACATGTCTCTTGTTATCTTGCCCTTAAGTGATAATGTACAACGCTTGCATTAAAAAAAAACATTACTGACATCCTTCTTTGTAAGCATTACTTTCTTTAAGCCTGCATGTACTAAGTGATTTTACCCCACACTGACATCCTTTCTTAACACCGTAACTTCATTCTTATACTGTACTGCTCATATTTTCTGTTCATTTTTTGCTGCACTCAAAGTACAATAAATATATAGGTCTGAATTTAGGGTTGGCCTTAAGTTCAATATCATTGTTGACTGTTACAGAACACACTTCAATTTACACAGTACTTCGCAGAAGTGTAATTAAAGCAAAGCTATTCACCTATATTTAAACCCCACAGTTCCTAACTTTAAAAATGTTAACTGTGCCTAGACACATTATAACCAGAAGTGAACCAGAAATACTTATTTAACAAGAAGTAAGACTAACTCCTGTGTTTCTTTGTGTTTTTATTGTGAAGATTTCCCAGAATATGAGTGGACAACCGAGTGTAATAATAATGGTAAAGTCACTCAAGTTGAATGGACAGGTGGTCATGTCATCAAACTATGACAGGGGGCTAACCTGTGAGTTAATCCAAGCTAAACCCGTTTTTTTTTAACCTGTTCCATTAAAGCTGTAACGAAGTTTAAATTAGTTCCTTATATGAATAAACCTATGTGGTGCCAGACGTAAATTAAGGTCAGGGGATTACCTTAACGCAATCGTATCCACTGGCTCTTCCACTTGGCACAGTCTACCTCACAGCCTCCACCATTTCTCCTAGATAACTCACCTGGTAAAGAAACTGAGTTTAACGGATATTTTTTCGCTCTACTTGAGCGAGGGGATGCCATGCCTCCAATCTGAATCGCTGGAGTGCATGGATCCTGACCGTACGATGCCCGGACCATCCTCTGCCGCTGGGACAGAGGAGTCCTTACGCAGGGAAACGGTGACAGCCCCGCTGATAGTGAAGGACATGAGCTGGTTCTTCTCCCCGCTGTGGAACCCTCGCTCGAAGACGCGCAGCACCAGGTTTGAAGACGGTGTGAAGAGCGATCAAGTCGAGGCATGGCTGGATGACCACTCCGACTTCACGAGGTCGTACTTTTTACGCAGGGCTTCCTCGTAAGATATCTTATAGCCTACTTTAATCCTTAACTAGTTGCATCTCTGAATACGATTTGAAAAGTCTGTGCCTGGCAGAGGTGTTAAGTGTTTACTCAAGTACTGTACTTGAGAACATTTTTGAGATATTTGTACTTTAGTTGTGTATTTCCATATAGCCTACTACTTTGTACTTCTACTCCAATTTAATTCAGAGTTAAATCGGGTACTTTTACTCCACTGCATTTATGAATACCTATAGTTACTTTGCATATTTTGATTAATGATATGAAATATAATCAACACTTAAATAAGACTTTATTTACTCATTTAAACTAGATGCACCATTACCAGCTTTGATAAACACTGCACCAATAATTATAATCAAAACATTTAATATATGTTATTCTGAAATGGGACAATCTGCATAATGAGTACTTTTAATGTTGGTAGTTTAAGTATAATAAGATGCCAATACTTTTGTACTTTTACTTACCTTTTGATTGTAGGACTTTTACTTGTAACAGACTATTCCTACACTCTGGTACTTCTTCTTTTACTTAAGTACAAGATACTTCTTCCACCTCTGGTGCCTAGTCCAGCCAATCAGTAATCTAATCTGTTTTTTCTGTAATTTCAGGGCCAGCGGCCCACAGGCAGAATCTCCACTGCCCAGGGTTCCCAGGAGCAGCTCTGACCACTCTGACCTGCTCAGGAAGGGTCATCATCATCTCAGACCTTCCTCTCCAATAAACAGCTCACGCTTGTCAGCCTTGATGTACAGGCCCGTACCCCTTAGCTCCCATCTCAGTGCCCCTCCTGATTGCATGGATCGATTCAGTCCAGATGTGTTGGTCAATCACTGCCCTTGCTCTCCTCGCTCTCCTCGTTCTCCATTCCCTCCTCATTCTTCACGCTTCTCTTTTTCTCCCTGTCTTTCTCCCATTCGCGCTTCCTCCCCTGACTTACCCCACTCCCCTCATCCATTGTACCCCACTGCTACAAATTCTGCTCTCTGTGGCCATGGTGAATACTGCCCATGGATGATGGAGCTCCTGAGAGGTGGTCTCAGCTCGATGGGTTCCGTAGTAGAGCTCTGCCAGGGGGCTGTCCTACACACCGGGGAACTGCTGGCAGCTGAGTGTTGCTGCCTCTCTTTGGTAAAGAAGGACTGTGGTGGAAGCAACAGCTTGGAGGAGGTGGTTGCCCCAACAGCATTGGGGTGCTTGAGTGAAGGCATCCTCTACAGCGATGCACACCTGGAATTGCTGAAGAGCATCATGGGATGTGCAGTGGCCACAGGATCACCAATGAACCTGAGAGACGTGTCAGGGGTAAACCCACAAACTCACACATTAGTTGTAGTCTCCATGACTCTGCATCAACTCCACACATAACTCAAGTTGTTTTTTCTAGGGCAATGGTATTTTGAACATACTTTTTAACTGCTTGTCCAAAAATATTTAAGTTTCTGCACTACCTTTTTAAAGGTGCACCATATTTATCTTGCAAAACAATCAGAGCAGGCTTTTTCAGAGGGGATCTTAAGTGAAAGGTGGCTTAAACAGTGCGTTTCAGAAAGACAGACAGACAGTAAGAGAACAAATATTTGTTTTGAAAATGTAAACATGTTCTATCAGTAACCCTATAAGTATGAACCTGAAATTGAGCGTAAGATGTCCCTTAAATTGAGGAATGTACACTAAATGCCATTTCCTGTTAACCTTTTTTTAGGCCATGACATGTCAATTTAATGCAGTGTGAGTGTGTGAGGGAATCCCAGATGACGCACCTGCTTCTAATCCTTTAAGAGACTAAGACCAATTAACCTCTGTCTATTGAGACAGTGATGTACTGTACTCAGTAACCTGTCCCTGGCACACGTGCACACTCACCAACTTAAAGAGAAAAGACGGCACAGCTCACTTACAGGCTTAAAAGAGGTGCCCACACCTACACTCTTTCTCCTCGTCAGCAATGTGATCAGGAAGCAGTTGGCAGATTATCCTCAGACAGTTTGGGTGTGGGTGGCTACTTAGTCATAACCTGTGGGACACCAAGGTTAAGCGAATTTTGGGTAATCCTGGCAAAATCATTGAAAGCCGATGAACAAATATTGTTTAGTTTGGGTGAAACGCTTTTAGCTGCCAAGTTATAAGAAAAGATGTTGAAAAAAGTGTTTTAACGACACATAGTATGTGTTGCATTTAGATTTAAAAGAGTGGTGTGCTTTTCTGCAGTGCTATACTAATTCGGTGTTCATTGTTTTCCCTCTCAGGACCCCAGATTTGGCTTAGATGACAATCAATCATCAAAGATCAGGACTGTTTTGATTGTTCCCATCAAGAACCACAGGGGAGAGGTAACATTTGTCTTCATTTCTTTTCAAATGTGATATAATATATGTTTTTATTGCACATGCCCCAATGCTTATGCAGGGAAAATATATAAACACAGTCTATCGTATAGAGCAGTGTGATGTATTGTAGAGTTCAAAACACAGACTGGCAACAATACAACTTTTAGCGATGTAAAGACATAAAAAATGTCTCTCTTTTTTTTTTAACAGGTGGTCGGTGTAGCAGTAATGATCAACAAGAGAAATTGCTGCAATGGATCGGTTTCTGTTTTTACCAATATGGATGAAAAGGTGAAGGACTAGAGGTTTGTGCTTTTTACTGCAGGCCAGCAGATGTTATTATGTATTAAAAAATATGTGTCAAATGTTTAGGTGCTGTCAAATCATATGGATGTATTGGGGCTGGTCCTGGATAATGTCCAGCTGTATGAAAGTTCAAGACAGGAGGCCAAGCGCAGTCAGGTAACACCATAAGAGGACAATATCGAATCTATCTATGATTGAATGTCTATGTAATCTAAGTGTGTGCGTGTGTGTGTGTGTGTGCGTGTGTGTTTTGTGTCAGGCCTTGATAGAGATGGCCCAGGTTTTGTCGAAGAAGCACTGTTCCTTTGATGTTCTGCTGAGTAAGATGGCTGCCACAATCATGCCCTTCACACATGCTCAGTACTGCACCATCTTCATCCCCGGGAAGCAAACCTTGGATGAAAATGACCAGGTGCTTTATCCTGTTTGATAAATGTTTTGTTTGTTTAGAAAAGGGTGTTTTAAATAGTATCTCTGTATCATTACTTTCTGTTCTTCTCGTGCTTTTTCAAGTTCATTCTTCCTCTCTTTTTCAGATTTCATTCTCCAATGTGATCCACCTGGAGTGTGAGGAGCTCGGATCAACCTGCCAGATCTACAGAAGGTTCTGCCTGTTGATTCATAATGATTCATAATGATTATTGCTTGCTTGATAGCTACGTTTTTCTAAAAACATTTGTGTCATACTTATTGCAAATATATAATGCAAATCCAAATGAAATGTTCCATATCTAACACCAGACATTGGTTCCATGTCATTTTTCAGGGAGCGTGACGTCAGCAATATAGACCAATCCCATGCCCTTAAAACTCTGGTGGCTATGGAAACGTTAAAAACGTCACAGATTTCTGAGGAAACAATAACGAGCCTGATCTGCTGCCCTGTCAGAAATGAGAGGTCTACAAATGTTATTGGTAAGTCTCTTATGGATGGCAGTGGTCATGATACAGTCTCAGCTGCACTCAAACTCCTCCTTTCACAAACTGTAGGGCTCCCACATGGGACTTGTGTCTATACAGTTATTAATGCTTGGCACACTTAAACAGACAACATTTGCCTGGAAATGGAAGTCAGCTGTTGTATGATTCAGACTTTTAGGGTAAAGGTTTAATTAAACACATTAAAACGGTCCTCTATACCTTTCTTTTTCGTCACATAGCGGTGTGCCAGCTGATGAAGAAATGGAGCATAGACTCAGATGACATGGAAGCTTTTAACAGATATGATGAGCGCTTACTAGAGGACATGGCGCTGTACTGCGGTCTGGCTCTGCAGTATGTTAAGGCTGTGCTGATCACTGAGGAGCGCAGGGCCAGTATAGAGGTCACACAGGAGGTGGGTAACCCCGTTATTATACTTGCATCATATTTAGCTTGCAGCCAAGTTAACTTTCTAGGATGTTTGCAACTATACCTAATATTCTCTTCACAGGTTCTTGCCTACCACATCACTGCAGCAGAGCAAGAAATCCAAGCATTGCAGGTGATTCTTAGCTTTCTTTGATATTACCAATTTCTGTCATTCCAGTCTACCCAATTGTTCTGACTTAAACTCAACGGTTTTTTCAAATGTGTTTTCAGGAGGCCTCCATTCCTTCTGTTGAATCACTGCATATGCTAGACTTCCATTTCTCAGAGTTTGGTCTGCCAGAAGAAAGGAGCACTCAGGCCACCATTCGAATGTTCCTGGACCTTAATTTGGTGCAGGATTTTAACATTGATTACAAGGTAACTAACCATAATAATAATAAGGTTTCACAGGAGAGGGTATCCAAATAAGCCTATATAAAAATGCCAAGCATAGTTTCTTTCCATAATTTTTGTGAGGGCCTTTTTCTATCTTTAAGAGTTAAGTGTGACTTATTACAATTAATAGTTCACCTCAAGAGTTTAACTGTTGGCAATTTAAAATGAAAAAGACAATTAAAAGCATATTCAATTCAGAAATGTAATACCTCTTCAGTTATTTACCATCTCATTACACGTCTCCTTTCTCCAGACTCTCTGTCAGTGGGTGCTTTCAGTGAGACGTGGTTACAGGAACAGTGTGCCTTATCACAACTGGAGCCATGCACTGAGCACTGCTCAAAGCATGTTTGCTATACTCATGGCAACAGACCAACTAAAGGTAACTAAGTATGTGTGTTTTTGTTCCTGTGCATGTACTATAGCTGTCACAGCAGAATTCTAATATGAACAAATGATAATGTAATGGCAATAATGGCAATCATCTAATCTGATTTAAATACATCCACAAAATGTAGTTATCTCCTTTTATGACAAAGTCCTTGAATATTATAAGCATTTTGGTGAAAATGTTGCTGTGGAACTGTCATATCTTGACCATTGCACCAAGTTGGTGAAATTCTACAGTGTCTATTTTTAGTTCCTAAAATTAGTTATATCTAGGCTACACAGGCTCCGCCCTCTACTGGACTCTATGGGTACTACCTCTTAACCATACTATGATTCACCTACTGAGATATCTATAAACGGGGCGGGCCTACCTGAATGCGTGTGCAAGCCCACCGTATATAAGGCGGCCACGCCTCCTGACTGTCATCCTTTTCTCTCCTGGGAGCCCCCGTGTTTACGGAAGGGCTCTTTGGATCGACTTCCTTGGTCACCTGGATGAGGAGTAGTCGCAGCTTGGTATGCTTCTTCTTGCTCATCCTCAGAGGACAGAACACTGTCCCACACTCGCCGCCCCGCTGTAAACTCAAGTAAAGGAGCCAGCAGGTGGGCGCGTGCACGTGAGTGGAATAAACCGCAGAAAGTGCTGTCAAAGCACTGTGCCGGTTCAAGAGACGCTATTGCCGGCGTGCTGTTGTCAGAAAACACACATTGCCTGGTATAATAGCTCCGATTAATGCGTTTCACCGTTGAATGTGAAACACAGCGTTAATATGAAGGCGCAAGGCCCCCGTGAGAGTGGCCGCGGTGCGTTCAGGGACCTCCGCAGAAGAACGGTGGGTTACTACGTATTGTAACCCTAGTTCTAGAGTGATGTGTGTGTGAAAAATGCATTCAGTAAAAACGATTGTATTTATCCCAGAGTAAGAGTCATCCCTCTCCACAATTCCACTTTTCCCCATAATGTCCGTTTCAAAGAGACAGCATTATGACAGGACCTCTGTAGAAAATCGGCCCTTTCTGTGTCAGCCCCCCATGAGCCAATCTTCCTTTTATGGAAGGTTTGGCGGCGGAGTGGGCCTGCCAGAGAGTGCTACAGCTTATTAGCTGCGACTCCACAGCTGCCTGCAGGCCCCCTAACACAGTCTTATGGGGAATGGAAGCTTAGCTGTGTAGCCTACTGACAAAATGGATGGACAGGACACTGAAACTGGGGTACTCACTCCAGTTTTTCATTGTCCCTCCTCCATTCAGGGGCTTAAGAGAGGCAAATCTATCATCCCAGGAGGAGATAGGTTTCCTTTCAACAGAGATTCAGGCCCTGTTGCAAAAACAGGCTGTGTCTGTTGTGCATTTTCAGGAGAGAGAGAAAAGGGGCTTTACTCCATGTACTTCCTGGTTCCCAAGAAGACAGGAGAATTCAGACCCATTCTGGATCTTCACAGCCTGAATCAGCACATTGCCTGCAAAAAGTTCCATATGTAAAACAATTACTGGAACTAGGACAGCCGGGCGATTGGTTCACAACCATCGACCTGAAGGACACTTACTTTCATTTCGAAAATTGCTCCAAAGCACAGAAAGTATTTGCGTTTTGCCTTCCAGGGGGGTAGCCTACGAGTACAACAGACTACCGTTTGGCTACTCCCTATCCCCACGCACGTTCAGCAAATGTGTGACCACAGCGTTTCAGCCGCTTCGCGACCATGGCATGAGGGTTTTGTAATACGATCTCATAGTCATGGCCAGGTCCAGGGAAGAGGCAAACACAGCCCAATTGATCCAAGTGGATTACGACCAATTGGAAGAAGAGCAGTCCCATACCTCACCAGCAGGTGGGGTATCTGGGAATGTTTGCTCGATGCAGGCAGACTATGTGCCACCCTGTCAGAGAGCAGGCAGGCATCCCTGCTTCAGGCAGTTTGCAGACTGCGACAGGGGGCAACGGTGACAGCTTTGACCATCATGCAAACTCTGGGTCTCATGGCGGCTGCTCACCTCCTGGTACCGCTGGGGTTACTTACTCGCCTGCAGAGGTAGTTTTCCGGCCTTCATTTAGATCCCAAGAGGCACAAACGACGTCTGATGACCATCCTCCCCCTCAGTTGAGGGCAACCTCCGATACTGTCACAGCCAGAGGAGAAGAAGTTGCGGTGCAGTGGCTGTTAACCAAAAGCCTGTCAGGGGCAGTGTGATGGGTCGATGTTGTTGGACGACAGGGCGTTTATGCATCAGGGTCACTGTACCCATAGAGTCCAGTAGAGGGTGGAGCCTGTGTAAAATATAACGGGGGTTACGTATTGTAACCCTAGTTATATAAGCACAGGCGGAGCCCTACTTGGGGCCCTGTCTGTCCTATGCCGCTCGCTGAAGAGGGTGTAGGATGACAGCCAGGAGGCGTGGCCGCCTTATATACGGTGGGCTTGCGCACGCATTCAGGTAGGCCCGCCCCGAGGGGCCGGCTACGTTTATAGATATCTCAGTAGGTGAATGCTCACATTTTATGGTTAAGAGGTAGTACCCATAGAGTCCAGTAGAGGGCTCCGCCTATGCTTATATAACTAGGGTTACAATACGTAACCCCCATTTCTTCACTTAATCTTTCTCTCTCTTTGTCCATCACGTTCTGTTTTTAGACTATTTTTTCCCGTCTGGAGATTTTAGCACTGATGATTGCCACTCTGAATCATGATATTGACCACAGAGGAGTCAATAACTCGTACATTGAAAGGTAACAAATAATGTATCTTCTTTTACGTAGACTCAAGTTTACATTTTTCTCAAATAAGTAATCTAATCTAATGCTATATATTTATTTTTCATTTATATTTGTTTTATATAAATACTGGTTTCAGTTGTCAGTCACTGTCTTCTTTTGTTCAGCCAATATATATATGTAACTCTCTCTCTCTGTCTTTCTCAGGACGCAACAGCCTTTAGCTCAGCTATACGGACACTCTACTCTGGAAAACCATCACTACAACCTGTGCATCTTCATCCTAGACAACACTGTAAGACATCCTCCATTAATCTTTTCATTCATATATTTCTCAGCCTTTGAGTCACTGGTGTATGCACTCAATCTTTAACAGTTTTATCATATTTAACCACTTGTAAACCATAATATAATACTATATTTTTCTTCTGTCTGTGTCCATCTGTCTTTTTTCTGTCTTTTCAATTTAATACACATGTTTTGTCACTCTCCTACTCGGTGTCTGTCTCTCTCGTCCTCTCCCAGGGGAGTCAGATCCTCAGCAGCCTCTCTGCAGAAGACCACAGAGCTGTACTACACATGCTCAAAAGGGCAATCCTTGCAACTGACCTGAACGTCTACATGGAGTATGTTAAAACTGAAAATGTCAAATAGCTTTACCTTCAAGCATTGTGAACTTCTTATTTTAACCCTGATACCCTTTTGTCTGCTTGTCTTTTTTAGGAGAAGAACAGAGTTCTTCAACCTCGCCAAGAAAAGCAGAGTGAACTGGAAGAGCGAGAAAAAAAAAGACTTACTGAGGTGAGAAATCCATAAGAATCATATGATAATAATATCTATGATGTGAATGGGCTGTTGCTATAATAAAGAGTATTGAGTCATTCATGCTTTTACTTAGCAGAAATGTTGACCCCTTTTTGTCCAAAGTTTGAAATTAACACTCTGTAAACGTTTTCATTGTCTTTGTATATCTATTTTATTTTTATTTGCCGATTAAAAAAAAAAAAATTTCTTTGTGTTTAAAATGTTACGGTAATTTTGTCTTGCTTTTGTTCAGCCTCACTTTTAGATGTTCTGTTATTGTATGGCCTTTTCAAAGTACTTGGTAAACCCTGTTTGTAGATGTGCTATATAAATATAATAATAATAATAATTTGTATTATTATTACCCCACAGGTCGATGCTGATGACAGCTAGTGACCTCTCTGCTATTACAAAGCCTTGGCCTGAACAAAAGAGGGTAAGTCTTGTAAAAGAGTTTTCATCTGAATTTTTCTTACTTTATCATCTTTCATTCATTATAAATTCATCACAACCCTGACCTCACTTTTTCACCAAAACAGATTGCCAACCTGGTTACCATGGAGTTCTTTGCACAAGGGGACAAAGAGAAACAAGAGTTTAAAATCAAACCCATTGTAAGTCTTGCAAGCAGGATTTAAATAAAAAAATTGTGCACCAAGGTTTCTTAAAGTATTGTTATATCTATGTTATATATATGTTATATATCTATAAAGAGAATAGAACATCTATCATTTAAATTAAGTGACATTATCTCCACTATTAATATTTACTATTATTACCTCCTATAAAATTGTTATATTTTAACGGCCAGTGTACCCACTCTCCTCCCCAGGACATTATGAACAGGGAAAACAGCCCTCGACTGCCATACATGCAAGTTGAATACATTGATGACATCTGCTATCCACTATACAAGGTGTGTTGTTTCCGCAGGTGTTGATTGCGAGTGGATATATGCATGTGTTCCATGTGTGCATGTTTGTAAGCAAACACAACAACACTGTTCTTGATGCTGTCCTATTCTCTTATCCTCTGACTTCTATAACTCCAATTATAACTCTCTGTCTCTGCCTCCCTCAGGCTGTATCAAGGCTGTTTGACACCTGCTCCCCACTGCTGGCTGGTTGTAAGAAGAACAGAGCAAACTGGATGCATCTGGCTATGGAAGCACAGGATGAAAACTGTGAAAACACTAGTTGTGTAACCCTGAAAACACAGCTAGAGGAATAGAGGACAGAAGACAATGAAGATCAAAACGAACTTTACCTATGTTTGTTCTCCTTCCCCTCTTGGTCACATTTTGACTAAATATCAGTGGAGTGCCACATCACCAATGTGTAAACTAAATGGGTGCTACAGTTTGTATATATTTTGCTGAGAGCATAATGTGTAGCAAAAATCCATCAGGAGTTCCCAGTCTCACATAAATTACATTGATCAGCTTCATTATTTGTATATCACTGAAGTAATACAAGCTTCCACTACTTATTCTTCTGATAATTTTTCACTTTTACTTCTTACATTGTTAACACAAATACCTGTACTTTCTACTTATTACATTTTCAAAACAGGTTTGTTACTTTAGTTGTAATCTGGTGGCATGATCATTATTTTTTAGAATTATTGCGTGCCTATTGATTTTAACACGATCTGTGTATCCATCATTTCCTGGTCTTTTTTAAACAAGAGGGACCAATGCCGTTGTTCAGCATTGAAACATTAATTTGCTAACAATTACATTATTGTTCTTCTATTAATATAAAAGGGAGGTCAGTTACTCTTTAAAACAGTTGTGGGTACTTTTTACTTAAGTACATTTTGAAGCCCATACTTCTTTACTTCTACTTGAGGAAGTTTAGTCAGTATTTCTACTTCTACCAGAGTATTTTTAAACACGAGTATCTGTACTTCTACTTGAGTAAAGGATGTGTGTACTTTTGCCATCTCTGCATACGATTTGAATTTATGTGTCAATGCAGACTACTGCTATGTTAAGCATTACTGTATATTTGCAAGTTCCCTTGCAACCCTTATCTTTTGGCCTATTAGCCATTAACAATATATGTGTCTTCAACGTTAAGGTTGTCTTCCTCAGCCTGTAGGACCAGTGTTGTTTATAGAGCCTCAAATATTTTTGGAATTTCCACTGATAATTAGATACCTCTGTGTTTTGAATTTCTCGGCCTTATTGACGCTGATAATATCTAAATTATTAATAATGGCGTTTATGACAGAAAAAACTCAAAAGCAATCTATAAATTCACACTTGAAATCAAGTTGTGCACACATCAATTGGTATTAAAGGATAAAGAACACATAAAAGTCAACTACCACCACCAGTGTCAACCACCACCAGTGTGAGCTCAGCCTCAGCGACATGTTTGTTACAGTGGATTCGGGAATCTGTAGTTAGCACGTGCAGCCTCTGGGGGGCAGTGTGCGTTTTAACCTACGCCGCGCAGTTCCTGCTGATTCAGACCCGCAGAAGAAGAAGCCAACGGAGAGACAAGAGGAGGAAAATGACAGGGCGCGCAAAAAGAAAAAACAAATCCAGTCAGGTACATTTACAATGTTTTCACCCCTCTGTTGAACAGCACATATGTCCGTTTAAAATACAGTTTATCAGGCAAGGTACGGTGCTGCACGTACTTATAATGGCGACACATTGACTTCTGTTCAACGCTGTGGGCAGGAGTGTTTGGCACGCTGTGTGCAGCGGTCAGGCGACAACATGGCAGCAGCAGCGCTCCTGCAGAGCCGCTGGTTCAGCCACAACCAGATACTCTCTATATCACAGCGGTTCGATGGTGCTGCATTACTCATATCAGAAGCGCCGAGTCATTTAGTTTAACATAGTTGTTTAGCTAGGTAATGTTTATCGGCTAGCCTGCTGCTGAGAAACGTGTTTGTTTGTTGTGTTTGGATTTGACTCGTGGTTTTAGCCCACAACATTCACAAATCAACATTGGTTGGCAATTTGAACCTTGTTTAAGATTATCTCCCCATGAGGCGAGTAAAACACATATAAGGGGGAGGTTAGTGAAAACGCTTCAACAAAGCCCACCTTTATGATTTTGAAATGAATATATTTTACCATCTGTTTCAGAGTTGTCATTTATTTGGTTGTCATTTTGGAAGCTGTTGACGTTTACTAAAGCATTACATTTACGACGTATTGTAAAATCACAATCATAATCATTAACATCTCCTGACAATAAGACTTAGCAAAAAGAAAATGTACATGTTCCTGCTGGTGTGTGTACACTGTAAAGGTAGCGTTGTTACCCCTGCAGGAGCTGCTGTTACTGAACAAATAACAGAAACACATAGATGCATTAGACACAGATACATCCAAACTCAATACAAAACGTGCATCCAATGGTTAGCCATATTGAGTGAAGTTAATAATCTCCAGTGGATGAGCTTATTGCAGGGCTGTTAAAATACATTATTGAAACTTGCTTTACCAAATAAACTGACAAACTAGTCTGTAACATCATAGCTGTTTTTCTTACAATATGTGTTCAGGTGTTGGGTACAGGCAATGGGGAGTTGAAGAAAGCCCGTGCTGATGAATCCAAAGCAGTGCCATCGTCAGGGATGGATTCAGAGCAACGCGATGAGATGTTGGAACTGTACAAGCTTCAAATGCCAGAGGATCTGTACCACTTCTGGGACTTCTGCAAGGAACTTTGTCCTGAAAGCCCCAGAGGTATGCTCTTTACTCCTATGGTGTATCTTGTTACATGTATTCTGATAAGACAGAAGGTGTGGTCTGACATTTAATACATTTGTATGTGTGTTGACTGGACATATGTGTCTGAATTTAGCCATTGGGAAACATCAATGAATCAATGGGTTAGATGCACGAATGCTCCACTAGTCTTCATGTAAAAACAAACCAGGCCAACTCTAGTGCCTTTGTAAGATGTTGCCTTTATATTTGCCAGTTTTGCATTAAGAAGCAGTTACGTTGTCTTTAATTGTTTTGGTAATAAGTGTAAATAATACTCCATGGAATATTTATAGACAATGTAACTGTTTAACATACCATACAACTAGCTAATAGTTACAAATCAGTTGGTGTATACAAAGTAAAAACATTATAGGAACTATTCTTTATGACTTTCCACTTCCCAAATAGACATCTAAAAACTGCAGTTGTTGTGTGACCAATATATCACAAAGTGTAATAAGGATAAGATAAAATAAGGATGGGAATTAGAAAACAGCAAGATGCAGAAAGTTATGGGGAATTCTTTCCCATATGATTGTAATTATCCTATGGCAATCGTTAACAACTATTTTAAGAATGATACAAAAAGGGTATATAAAATAAAATTATAAATATAAAAAAACAACCTTAAAAGCCTAATTTGCAGCAATTGCACTGGATATTCATTGAATTCTATACTTGTTTTTATTCATCTTTACCTGTAAAGGTGCGCTGAAAGACACGCTGGGTTTGCAGCTGGTTGGTCCCTTTGACATCCTGGCAGGAGCCCACAAAAAATCCAAGAGTCCTCAGCCTAACTTCCACCTTCACTGGAGGTATTTGTACGACCCACCAGAGTTTCAGACCATCCTTTTGGGGAGTGAAGACAGAGAGCATCACATTGGCTACTACAGGTAAAAACATGTTTACATCTGAAGTCTGTGAATGAGTGCAACCTGTGAAATTCCTTTTATTATAGCTTTTAATGCTGTAGCTTCCACAATAGGGATCTTGATGAAACCGAAACAGTGATAACTAAAAGTGCAATTAGTTCTGCTTTACTGAATTGTATTCCCGAAATTAATCAGAGACACCCCAGACTCCCTCCCCGCGTTTGTTGGAGAAAATGAAGCCAAGAAAGGCTGCACTATCACACAGATGGGGGACAATGTGTTTGCTGCTGTTCTGTAAGTACCAACCATTGTGTAGTACATTATCAAATTAAAAAAATGTAAGCACACAGATCACGGATATATTCATTTACACATGGATTATATGTTGGTCACACAAGACTGTCAAACAGTCAATACTGACTCGGATCAACGATCATAAAAGGTGATAGTGGTACCCTTACAATTAGGATGATATGCATAACTATTGAAAACGACTTTTCATCAAACAGTCTTTTTACTACCTTACATTTAATTGTACCCACTGTGTGCTCCCTCCTCCATCATCAGTCTGTTTCTGCTGAAGAGGAGGAAAGAGAGAGGCAGCAAGAAAGCAGATGGAGGGGCCTTGGAAAGCTTAGAGGCACAGCTGAGAGACCGGGCAGAAACTCTGGGCTTGTCTCTAGAGCAGAAGACTAAAGGCATGAAGCAGAGGGACAAGAAGGTAACTTGCACAAGAGAGCAAATTGTAGTTTTATCTAAAATCTTTAGTTTTAACTCCTAATTTGACCTCATATGTTGCTTTTTACCAAGGTCTATCAGTTTAGACCATTGCAGTGTATATATTCAATACTGTACAGTAAATCAAGGACACCTTATGACAGGGGTGCCCACACTTTTTTGGCTGGTGAGCTACTTTTGAAATGACCAGCTCACCGAGGTCTACCAACCAAAAATAAAATCCCAAATAGCAAGGGTTGCTGAATAACACATTTTATTTATACATGGGATAACTACAATAGGGCTGCAACAAACGACTCATTTGATAATCGATTAATCTATCGATTAATGAAACGATGAATCGACTATTCGGACTATTCCTGTATGCCTTGCACAATTTCTCAAACGCTCTTATTTAGCCATCAACTTTTAGATGTAGCTTGAGGTTGTTTTAGGCATGTGGAAACTAACAATGAAGACAATAAAGATGAATACTTGATTCAAAAATACATATATTATTAAATTAACTTAACAAATTGTGAACAAAACTAACATTGCTTTTTATTTAAATTAAATAAATAATATTTCACATCAAAAGAAACAACAGTGTTTTAACAAATCGTATTAAATAATCTGATGACAGAATTGTAAACAGAATAGCTGAAACTTTAACAAACTAAATAACTCCGTTACCTCTAATCATTAACCCATGTTTGTATCATTGAGTTAACTCCGTGTGTTGCTGCTAGCATACATAACACCTGACGTGGAAACGTTACTCGTGGACGGGGCTACAGAGCTACTAGAAAGACAGTCGAACCCGGTGCATTCCTCCGTCTGAATGTGGTGCACTTTTGCTAAATGTTTAGACACATTGCTCGTGTTACCGCCCTCACATGCTAAAC